GCAATGATGGCTTCTCTTTTCACTTTTTAAGTTTTTTATTCGCCCATCCACCTCTATTTTTTTTTTTTTGGATGAGATGTTGATTGAACACGTAGTGACAATATAAACGTAAAATATGCACAATTATTTATAAATAACGTATACGAGTTAATTTAAAATTCTTGTCACGAGATTAAAACTTAAAATCTAGAAATAAGTTTTGTACTCGTGCATTGGTTCTTGTTTGTTTTAACTTCCTCGCCAACCATTTGAAGAGAAGGTAGTTCAAGTGGTAAACAAGACGAATTGTAATTCAAACGTTTGATTTTAAATTTTAACAAACTTTTGGAATATGAAAGATTTATAAATTATTTTTCATTAATAACTTATTTTTAACGTGGATGGCTGCACCTTTGACTAAATTGAGAAAAAAATTAATTGAAATACGTGTAAGCTAGTCTTTATACTTCTGATCGTTAAATTAAAAAAAAAAAAAAAAAGAATTGTTGTGAGTTGAATCATATTATAAAGAGAATAACTTTACTTAGGAAAATAGTTTGTGCAATAATGTGCAATAATTATGTAAGGGGGGGGGGGGGGGGTATTATAAGACAGCATTATTTGGTATAATGGCTTGTGCGAAATTGGTGCAATCTATGCATGCGCGTGTCGTCTTGATCTCCTTATTATTTGGCTAAACATAAGACCACCTCCAATGTATTTATCTTGTATTGTATGTGCATTAGTTTGCATAATATGATCCTTGAAGACAACCATGATAACTATATAGATGACAATTATTATGCCAAACACACACACACACACACACACACACACACACACACATATATATATATATATATATCCTATTCGAGTGTGGGGGAATCTAACACTTATTTTCATGGTGTTTATTGTTCATCCTTTTATGATTTATAATTTTATAGTATTCATTATACGCTTGGTAATAATTGAGCGAGTAATCTTCAAATTGTATGTATTAATACTTTAGAGTTGCATTTTTTGGAAAACGGGAGAAATTCATGGTTTGTCTTCTAGTAAGTAGAAGTGCGTTTATGTCACTCAAACTCGTGAATTCGAGTAGAACCGAGGACAAATCCTAAGTGTATGAACTGGATACACTACTTAATTCAAGAGTTGAGTTTTGACAGAGATTCGAATTCACACTAGAGATTTGAATACGGTTCATCTTGCCAACCAATCATATTTTTTATCATAAGACAAGGAGTACCATTAAACTAAGGTCTGTTGGTTTTGAGTCGCATTTTAAATGTAATTATTTTGAAATGATATTTGGTATTTCTTAAAAAAGTTTTTGTAATTTAATTCCACAATAATTCTTATAAGGACAAAATAATAAATTTCAAAAATCAATAATAAAATATTAAAGTCTTGCTAAATTTGGATTTATTCTGTGCCAAACATGGGGTAGAGTGTTTTGTGTAGTGGATCAGTCAGTGTAGAGTGGATTGTTGTGGGGTAGTAAGATTGGACTATCACTGTACCAAATCTAGGGACACAAAGAATCACAAATTTTCATTTGAAAACAACATCTAGATGTGAATTTATAATTCTAGTGGAAGGAAAGACGAAGATGGATTGATTGGATCATAGGAGGGACCCACTGCTCAAAGGGGAGAATTTTTGTCTCAAATCTTTAGTTCCCTCTATGTATGCCATCTACTTTGGATGGATTTAGACTTGATCACCCAAAAAAACAAAAACCATAGAAAGACAAAACCTATAGCCACACACACACACACACACACACACATATATATATATATATATATATATATATATATATATAGAGAGAGAGAGAGAGAGAGAGAGAGAGAGAGAGAGAGAGAGAGAGAGAGAGAGAGAGAGCCTTTGTTTATATTGTTGGTATGGATGAAATAGAGAAATAAAGAAGGTTGAGGACAGGAGATCACTTTATGACTTATTCCATGCATGAGATCACTATATCCATACAACTTATGTGAATCAATATCCATCTTACCCTCATTTTTTTGATCTTTATTTTTTTATTATTATTTTTTCGAAAACGTAATTTGAATCTATGATTTTTTTTTTATGTAAAAGGGGGGTTTGTAAAATTCATTTTACATAAAAAAAACTTAAAAAACATATTTTACGAACACGTTTTTATATCAAAAAACATGAGTTTAAATCAAAATTTATTTTAAAAAATATATTATATAAAAAATACAATAAAAATAAATTTTAAGACTGAGGGTAATTTAGGGAGAAAAACTCCAGCTTATGTACATTATAGCCTTATAGGATGACTATTGGCTTCGATCTCCACAACCAAACACCATAGTTTCTTTTTGTGTGCGTGTATGTGTGTGTGTCCCATGGGCATGTGAATAAATGAGAGTTAATGGACCCCCGTGATTTGCAACCGAAAGCAGGGGGCCCGACAGGCCTACTAAAAGGAAGTACGAAGCCGACGGGTTTATCTCGTGACTCAGCGGCGGGTCTGATCCGCCTCAAAAAAGCCCATCAATCACTCCTATTTAATTTAGAGAAATCTGGAAGCCGGTGTTCTTACGTGAACTTGTTTGGAGATAAATATGACAAGAAAATTTATTGGAGTCTAAGTTCGTGTTTAAACTTATATGTAGGTACTTAAGTCCACTTTTTTTTTAAATCTCAATATTACCCTTAACGGTGTTAATTTTGTCCAATTATGGAAAGTCCAATAAGTTAGATCTTTAAAATATATATAGAAATCTTAGTTTGAGTTATATATGGAAATCATTTTTCGTTAAACATCTTGATAATTAAATAAAGAGAATATGAAATGTATATACTATGCTAGCTATATATAGAAACTTGATTGACGAATTAATTTAGATCACAAGTTTTCCTTATCAATTCGAATTCTTAATCAATTTTAGTCTGTTATACTTTTGAATAATAGGCTTTTGTGTTTGGCAGGGGGTTCGAAGGTGATAAAAGCAGTCGTGAGACCCTGTGTTACTAATGCTATTACTGCCAATGTTATTATTTAATGATCATTACATACAGTAACCAATCGTGCAACAATGTTACAAATTCACTTGATAATGAATAATTACAATGGATTTTAACAAATTAATTCCAGATACAACGCAATTTTAGCATTCTAAAATCGAATGGTTATGTTAGTTGGAACATTTTTTAACATGTTACTGTTTGAGTTAATGTTGCGCTTACAAATTGGATAGAATTTCCTTTGTTTTCCAAACGTTTCATTACAAACAAATTTTCAAACCTACATCAACATATCAATTTAATATTAAGATGTAACATCCAAACCACAATTCTACATGTTTGAATACTCCATTTAAACAAAGTATCAAACAGTAAACAATTACAACCAATTTTTAATCGAGTTTACAATTAGCTAAAGAATGAATAGCTTTACAACAGCACCAGTTTTTATTTTTTTGGTATTTTTTTTTGACCTTGATCTTGTCTTGTACTCTTCAATAGTCCATGCATTTCTATGGTTTATGAATGTGGTCACCATATGTATCTGTAGAGCGTTAAGTTGTACTAGTTTCAATTTCTCTTCTATTTCCTGTAATTGTTATCAACCTGTAGCACGACGTTGTAAATATCAATATGAATATATTAGACAATCGTAATATTAATATCCTACACAAACATATAGTATCATGATACAAAATAGTACCGCACAACATATGGTAACATACAAAATAGTAACGTACAGAATATAGTAACATGATACCAAGCGTAATGGATAAAAACCAATTATGAAAAATTTTGTGCAAGAGTAACATTAATAGTTCCACCAAATTACATGATGTAAATATAGTAACATTAAATTCTCAACTAAATCTCAGTAACATCATCTTCAGTATTATCAGACAAACACAATTTTGTGTGCCTGCATGTTACAATTATATGGTTTGAAGATTGTATTATATATAACATTGTCCTAAAGAAATTGAAATTGATGAGTACTCTTGTGATATCATGATTATACTAGTTCATGAACATCATTTTCAGTTGTCGAATAAAAATGACTCATTCCCAATCAACACTTTAAAGCAAACAATAACCCTCTCAAAAGTTCGGAAACAAATTAGGGTGCATCAAAGTGTATCGGTCCATTGTAACCTTGTGTTTTTTTCACAATAACACAACGAATAAAAATTGAATTGTTTTAAGAAATCTAAATAGTAATACAAACTCAACCCTAATTTACACTTTTCACTACCAATTGCAAACATTTTTAGACGTATATTATGTAACATGCACTTTTAACTTTCATAGTAACACCAAAGTTTTGTACTCAGTAACACATCGACTTTCACAAACTACAAGACTATATGGTGTTCACAGTAACATCAATTTTCAAAAAATTATAGTGAAAATACGATCCACAAATTGAATATTTACAAAATTTCTAGTAGTAACACACCGTCAATAGTTAAATTAGGACACTCAACACCAATCAAGAACATCAAGATATCGACATTATGAGATATATTTTTCAAGTCCTCACATAGTAATATGATATATTTCACAAACACACAATGAAGGAATTTCAAATGTCTTACACAACGACAAAACAACAAAATCAAAAAACATTACACTTTAATATAGTAACAAGGAAATTTCAATTTTATGGTTATGAATGCCAAAAAAAAAAAAACCAGCTGACAGTTTGAACGATAAATCATTTTTTTTTTAGATCAATAAGCTAGTTATTAAACTTATATAAGTCAAATCATCATCAACACAAACTATATCTCAATTACACAGAAACGCCACAAAACATAGACAAGAAAGAGTACCCACAAGAACCCTATTTTCTCGTCCATTTCTTCTCCTCATTCTCCAAAAAAACAAAAACAAAAAACAAAAACAAAAAAAAACACACAAAAACATACATTTAAGACAAAAATTGAAAAGGGTTTGTAGAAAGGGAGAGTACCAAAATGCACAGCCAATGTGATGGTTGAATTGAGGATCAAGGATGATAATCAGACGGCTTTGACTACACTAAAAGTGGCATCAGAGTCATTATCATAAACAGAAGCAGGTGGGTTTGGATTGAGAGGGGCACAAATGGTGTCATCGTCGGTGTCGTAATATGGGTTGAGGTTGCGATCTATGGCTTCACGATCCTTTTCAAGACATGGTTTACAGGCCATTTCTATGGTTGTCCAACACAGTGTCAGTCCCGCTACCGTTGGGAATTGAGAGAGAGGAAACGATAAATCATGTAAAAGTTTCTTTAAAACCCTTAAAGAAACCTTTTGTACGGAGAAGGAAACTCTGTTGCATGGATGGTTATTGCCGGATTTAGGCCTATTATTAAGGAGTGTATATCGCTGAATGGGTTTTGTCCGTTTATGTAGAAGACGGTCAAGGCAGATGTCTGTTATGCTTTTTCCAAAAGGTAGGGGTAATATAATAAACTTGAAGAAAAATAGACTTAAAACCTAATAAGTTTTCTTGTCGGACTTATCTCCAAACAAGTCAATTTAGGAGGACCCACCCCCAATTTTCACATGAATTTAAGCCACAAACTCTAAGAGTCTGTCTGATAGAAAAAATGAAAAATTGAAAGAATAGAAAGAAGGATGAAAAATTGAAATGATAGAAAATTAGAAAGAATATATTTTTCCTCATTATGTTTGGTATGATGGATGAAAAATTGAAGGGATACATTTTCCTTTGTTTGGTATTGGATGAAAAATTGGATAGAAAGGAAAAATATATAAACCAAATTTACCATTATATCCTCAAATCTAATTACATGAATAAGATTATAGAAAATAAACCAAAATGCAAGATTTTTTTTTATAAGTATATAATATTTAAACCCTATAAATTTTATAAGTATATAATATTTAGACCATTTTTAAGTTTAAAATATTATAATTAGACCAAAAATACTTCAATCAAAGATGAAATATTAAATATTTCAAATTTTATAACCAAAATTCATTTTATATTGTATAATTTATTAAAATAAAATCAAAAATTAAATTTACTTATAAAGAAATTCTTCATTTAATTATTTAATGTGTATCTAACTAGAAATTATATGTATTTTTTCATTATGTACATTTAATTATTAAATCTTCCATTACACATACAAAAGCAAATTTAATAAGTTAAGATCTAATTATATTCTGTGGTAAACACTAAATACTAAAAATTATATAATTAAAAAAATTAGAGGTTTGAATTATGGGACTACTGGGAACCAAAAGAAAAAATGAAAAAAAAAAGGGAGGCAAATAAATTTTTAGTTCTCATTCATCAAAAAGGCCATAGCCACACATGTTTTGAGCAAAAAAAAAAAAAAAACTGGTGAACACTTAAGCAGATAGTGGTGGGTAAAATAGTCAATTCACAAAAAAACCCATCTTTCCTCAATTTTTAGCCCATTTTCCACCCATTTTTGGTGGGATCAGGGGAAAACATTTCCCTTCTATTTTTCATTCCCTCCCTTTTTTCCTCCATACCAATGAAAAGATTTTCTTTCCCTCTCACTTTCTTTCCTTCATTTTCTATCCTCTCTATTTTCCCTCCAACCAATTTATATAACCTATGTAAAAAAATATTAAAATAAAATTGGATAAATATCACTCACACCCCTTGACATTTAGTTTTATTATACAAACATTCCCTCACATTTTATAAATGACAACAATACCCCAAATGTCGTGAAATACCGAATACCATTAACAAAGATGAAGAAATGACAATAATGTCTTCCGTTAGAATTGAAAAAAAGAAACTACAAATCAAGCCCTGAAAAATGAAGACAGCATAAAAATTTAGGTATTTCCAAATATACTCCTAAATAAGTAAAACTCCATTTAATACCCAAGACAAATTAAACCTTATCATATTGTCACTCAATGCGAATTAAATCTTATCACTGGTAGTAATTATATTAATATTATTTTTAAATTAACAACAACCTTTATTAAACAAAATTTATACCAAAAAATAATAAAGTTAATTTAATTACATCAATTCATAAAATTATTTTATTTTCTTAAATAAGCCCAAACTTAAGCCATTAAGCCATGTCTTACTTATTCCAACAATTATACCAAATTTATAACCTCTAAAAATTATGTCTAAACAACACCAACACTTCCCACCAATGTGCGCCGCCCACAACCAAAAACCACCAACCACTGCTACTTTACCACCAGTTTTACCATCCCAATCCCCAACAATACCACCACTACTACAAATCATCACTACCAAACCTAGAATCGAACCCATTGCCTCTAAGGCATAACTTGTACACCGCAAAACTGACAACTCACCACTTTCAACCATCAACATCGCACCAAATGAGAGAGAGAAATGTGAGTGTTCATTTTTTTAATTTTTAGATTAATTTTTTTAAAGTGTTCAAATTTACATTTTAAATAAAGAAAAATTATTAGACGAGTAAATCTTATCAATTTTTATAAATAAGACTCGTTGATTCAATAATCTTTTTTATTTGAAATATAAATTTAAGTTATATAGCATTACTCGATTTCTAAATAAGTACTACAATTTATTACTAAATCACCAGTCCGTGTACTAAAAAAAATTAGTTAGGGTGTATATAAAACAATTCACACCGCACTAAAAAAAATCACAAATTCGCAAAACAGTGTGCGCTGTTCACTTGACAAAACGTACTGCCAGCTGTTCATCCCAACGTGTGGATACTCAAGTTTCAATCGTACGGACTAGCATTGTGTTTAGAGCCTTTGATGCCCTGGCCCATAAACCCCCGACCCTTCTCCTCCCCCCCACGCGCGTTTTCGGCCGCAGGATCAGCTTAATCTAGAATTGATTATGATGAGCTGTGCATGTGTGTGTATTTATATACGTATACACACAAAGAGATCCATGTCGTAGCCAATGACGTGATCCGTACGTAGTAGACTCGAGTGGCACTCATACCCTAATTATACAGTACGGACACCTCCATTGTTGGAATTTGCGAAATTCCAAGAAATAATTAATACATAAATTTTATAATTTTTTTTCAACTGTCCGAATTATTTGGATTAACTTACACATACATCAATTAATTTTCTCATCGATTCGATTAAAGATAAGTCATTCATGACAAAACTAAAGAATTTATGAAAGATAATTTTTTCACAACCTGATTTTAAAGAATTATTAAAATTTAAATTCATGACACAATTTATTCCTGTTACTAGTTGAACTATCTCTTATGCTTCTTGTAGGGCATTAATCTGTGGGTTCGGGATGTCCTCCCTCCACAGAAGGATTATGGCTGACTTGGCGTAAGTCTACGCTTTGTGCCAGTTGCCTTTTTACCTATCTGCCCGTTGGGAACCAGTCCAATATCGGAAGAGAGTCGTCTCCCCCAAGTTTATATGAGAGAGGGGAGACGACTCTTTTCCGATGTGGGACTGACTCTCAATGGACAGAGAGGTAAAAATGCTATTGACACAAAGAGTAGGCTTACGCCAGGTCAATCATAATCCTTTTGTGGAAAGAGGACATCCCGAACGCGCGGATTAATCTCCTACACTTCGTTTGGTAGAAAAGATGAAAAATATGAAGAATACATTTTATATTCTTTAAACATGGAAAGTAGGAATAATATATTTTTCTTCTTTTATATTTAGTTAGATAGATGGAAAATAAAAATAATTAATTTTTTTTTATGCTGGCTAAAATTAAAGGTGACAATTGAATCGTGTCGTGTTAGATTCGTGTTGAGTCATAAAATTATGAGTTTTTTATATTTTTTATTCACGTGTCAGGTTATCTTCAAGTTTTTGTCATAAAATTCGTGTTGAGTTCGAGTCATGTAATCGTGTTGAGTTAAAATTTTTTACCCCTAGTTAAGATATATATATATATATATATATATATATATATATATATATATATATATATATATATATATATATATATATATAAATACATATTTTATTAATGTATTTTTATATGAAATTAATGTATACATAATATATCTATATAATAAAGTAACTTACAATTCAAATTTCAAAAGATAAAAAAAATAACTTTTATTTTTCGTGGTTTAAATTACTTTAAAATTAATCTAACGGTTAATATTAACAGCCTAAATTTAATAGGAAAAATAGGGTTCTAAAAGTGTATTTGAAATGACTTTTTAAAAGTACTTCTACAAATTATTTCTCATATGTATTTTTTTAAAAAAATAGTGTTTGAAACCGCACTACCACTACCTCCACCACCACCACCGTTGCCACCATCACTGCCATCACCACAACTGCCACCACGGTCATTGCCACCCATCACAACCATCACCACTACTACCACCCACCACAACTATCACCGTCTCCTACCACCACCATTGCCGCCCACTACCCTTCACCCCCACTATAATCAATGCTTAAATTCATTTATCTCTCCTCTGTATTTGTGATTTGAATATGAATACAAATATATTTATTATTTACTATTTTTTATTACTCTGTGCCTTCAGACACAGACAATAACTAGTAGACAAATAAGATACATTTCAACACAAATAATTAATTTTCTATCTACTTTCTTTCTAATTTTAGTAAGTTGGAAGGAAAGTTAATTCATCCACTTTTTCATCCTTGCTATTTCTCTTCCTTACCAAATATAATTTTTTATTTATCCTTCAAACTTTCTATTTTTCTAATTTTTCATCCTTCTATTTTTCTATCATACCAAACCAAACATTAAAATTATAAGTTTGTAGTTTCAACTAGTCATACAAAGTCTCATTATGGAAGGTTTGTTTGCTGCCAATGGCATATCATGTTGAAATTTTTTCAATGCATATTAATTTATTTATGATTATATATAATTTAATTCAAACATATTTAATTTATATTATGTATAAATTGTATATAATAATATTTGTATTAATTTATTTATTTAACAGACTCAAATCTATTAAAAATTAAATTCATAATCAATAATTTTATCTTAGAAAAACAAATAATAGAAATAATTGTTAACATATTAACCAAGAGATCTCTCATGGTTTAACCGAAAACATAACCCTCAATAGTATACCCTCAAGAAAGCGAATTCATGTAATCGACCTTAGAAAAATTAGAATAAGATTTTGTTAAATTGTGTTGATTAACAAAGAGACTTCTCATGTGCTACGACTGTTCAACTTGTATTTTATTAAATGATTTTGCGAGGGTAAAAAAGGTCAATTTTTTCACCAAGTATACACAGATCATATTTGATATTTTTTATTTATTTTTATTTTTTTATATTTCCTCGTGCGTGGTGATTTAATAATTTTGTGATTGGCAGAACATGATACATGTCATATCCCTTTCCGAGAGGCTCCCCCAGGAGACGCATTTTGGACGCATTAGACTAATTTGCTTTTTATTCGTTTCCTGATTTATAATTGGTATTTATTTATTGAAATTGATTTTTTATCTATTCAAACCACACTTGACGCATTTTTATCGGCTAAAAAAAAGGTACAATAATAAAAATTATATTTCGTTACGTTAACATGTTTTTGGTATAATTTTAATAGATAATTCAAGTGATAATACAAATAAACTGTAAATTCAGACTTTTTAATCAGACTGGAGATAAGATTTATCTTTCACGAGTACTTTAGTCTTGATAGGATTAACGTGCCTTTAACCAAATTAAAAATAAAATTAATTAAAATGTATATAAGTTAACCTGACTGTTGGAAAAAAAAAAATTCTTGGTGTGGGGACGTTTGGTCACGTTCTGTTTGGTACTGTATTGGCCGAGGTGGGAATAAGAATGGGTACAAATCGCTAGTCCGTGGGAAAACCCGACAAATGTGGAACTCATTTTGACGGAAATTGCAAAAAAAGAGACGGAAAAAGAATGCCCCCAAAAACAAAACGAAACCCATACGACGGAAAAAGAAAAAGCCAAAGAAAGGGAAAAAGCATAGAAAGCGAAATGAGAATGTAAGAGAGAGAAACATGCAGACAAGTGTTTTGTATACAGTACAGTGAGAGTGAGAGAGACCCACTTCCCCCCTCACTCAGTGATGGCGTGATTTACTTTTGCTTTTTCCCTCGACAAGAATCTTTGAAAATGGAAAGCCCAGCCCAGCCCAAACAAAACAAAATTTAAAAACAAAATTCTTTCTAAAAAAAAACAAAAAAAAGGGAAAAAGGTTTGCTTTTGGTCAGGGCACTTCATTTACATTTAGACTTAGGTAATGAAAGTCCAAGAAATTTTTTGGTGGGTTATATTGGATCCATTTTTACTCAATCAATAACCCTAATATATTAATATCAATAATAGTCCAAGTGGTAATACAAAGAATTGTATATTAAAATGCTTTGAATTTAAATCTTAACAATTTCTTGGAGTTAGTTTATGAAGAATTTATTGCTCATAAACTTTAGTATCGATATAAATAACATACCTTTGACTGGATTGAAAATAAAATTAATCGAAGTGCGTGTAAACTGATTCAGACACGTCTTACTGTTGAACCAAAAAAATAATAATCCCCATATATCTCATCAAAGGTGTTAACTAAATTCCAAAGTCATGAATGAGATATATACAATCAAAGGTATTAACTAAATTCCAAAGTCATTAATGAGAATTGAATATAAAACTCATAAAATTTACGATTCAAGGTAAAGTTAACTCTACCTCATGGGCTTCATGTGCATGTTAAAGCTCTAAAATTATAAGACATTAAAATTTACGAATCGTCTCAAAATTAACTTTCATACTATTGAAATTTCACGTACGAGTTAAAAAATTCTAAAATTCACGAATCAATGTGCAATTAAAACAAATCATTCTATTTTATTCAATTTAGTAAATTACATGACGTGCATTAATAAGGTATTTACTCATATACTTCATAATAAATGATTTATCAAAAATAAACTAAAAATATCTCATTGTCATTAGTGTTAGAAAAATGACCTCTCAAATTCATTGCCTTTCTTGAGATTTATCAAGGGTAAAAGAGTCTTTTCATAATTAGTGTCCTAAACTAAGTAAAGCATCCAACGTTAAAGTAAAGTGATATCTGGAGAGAGAAAGTTGTCAAAGAAAGAGGTGATTTCCCTTTCATTTGCTCTCATTTTCCTTTTAACCCTCTCTCTTGCTCTCTCACTCACTCTCTCTCTCACTCACTGTCACACACTTACTGTCCGTTGAGGAGAAAGAAAGAACCAAAGCTCGCTGTCTCACAACACCCGAAAAACACAGTCTCTCACTCAGTTTCTAAACACACACACACATTTGTACTGGATTTGCTGTAACATGAGCAGATTACGCATTGCACACTACAACTACCGGTTATGAATCCCATTACCGAAGCTCCACCACCGCCGTTGCAGCCATTACCTCCACCACCACAACCACCGCAGCCCCACAGGTCCTCTTCCAGCTGCGGCAAACACCCAGAAGAGCAATTCACTGGCTTCTGTCCTTCATGTCTCTGCGAACGTCTCACCAGCCTAGATCAATCATCGTCCGCCGCTGCTGCCTCCTCCTCTCGCCGCCCCTCAACCTCTTCCTCGTCCGCTGCAGCAGCCCTCAAATCCCTCTTCACCAAAATCCCTACCACCACCGCCACTGAACCCACCACCTCCATCAAAAGCAAACCCACCAACAAACCCTCATTCTTGGCCGAACTCCGTCGTACAAAATCCTTCTCCGCTTCCAAAAACGAGGGTCTTGGTTTTTCAGGCATCTTCGAACCCCAACGTAAGTCCTGTGATGTTAGGGTTCGAAACACTCTTTGGAACCTTTTTACTCTTGACGATGAATCCAAATACAAACCCCCTCATATGCACGTTCAAAGCTCTATTCGCAACACTGAAAATTTCGCCGCCCAAAATTTAGGCCCGGTTTCTTCTAAAGTCACCGGGCCAGTTCTCGAGTCCAAGGAAGAGGATCCTGATAATAGCGACACTGACACCTACACTGACAATGACGATGAAATTAGGGTTTTGGAAGAGCCCAATAACGTGTCAAATGTGGTGGAAGAAACAGTTCCCGAGATTGTCGAGGAGGGTATGGAGAATGATATTAAAAGAATGAAGGATCACATAGATCTTGATTCGCAGGTGAAAAAGAATTCAGGGATGGACTTGAAGGAAATTGCTGGGTCTTTTTGGTCTGCAGCTTCGGTGTTTAGCAAGAAATGGCAAGATTGGAGGAGGAAACAGAAGCTGAAGAAGCGGAACGGTGGTGGGGATTCGGTGGCATTGCCGGTAGAAAAACCCATTTCTAGGCAGTATAGGGAGACCCAGTCAGAGATTGCGGACTATGGTTTTGGAAGAAGATCTTGCGATACTGATCCGAGGTTCTCACTTGATGCTGGAAGGATTAGCTTTGATGATCCAAGGTATTCATTTGATGAGCCCAGGGCTTCTTGGGATGGTCACTTCATTGGAAGGACTTTTCCTCGGCTTCCACCGATGGTCTCCGTGGTGGAGGATGCTCCGGTGGTGCATGTTTCGCGTACTGATACGCATATTCCTGTTGAAGAACCAATCAATTGTATCAATGAGGGGGAAGGGATTCCTGGTGGTTCGATTCAGACTAAAGAATATTATTCTGATTCTTCGTCGAGGAGGAGGAAGAGTCTTGATAGGTCTAGTTCTATAAGGAAGACCGCAGCAGCTGTGGTGGCGGAGATTGATGAAATGAAGGCAGTTTCCAATGCTAAAGTCTCTCCGGCCACAATTGACTATATTAATGGAGGAAAGGTGTTGGTTGGTGATAGAGACACGGGGGATCCAAATTCGAATTCTTTGAGGGATGATTGTTCGGAGACTTTTGAGTTGGCTGGTTTTAGGGATAATGCTTCAGTTATTGGGAATGGGGAGCGCAAGGGGTTGAAAAAATCACGCCGGTGGAGTTGGAACATTTGGGGGTTTATACATAGGAGAGGAGGAGGGAACAAGGATGAGGATGATGAGAGGTATAGCAGAGGAAATGGGGTTGAGAGGTCGTTTTCAGAGTCTTGGCAAGAGTTGAGGCGGGAAGGGAATGGTGAAGTGAGAGGAGGTTTTAATAGGAAAGTTTTTCGGAGTAATAGCAGTGTGAGCTGGAGGAATCCATATAATAATGGTGGACCGTTTGGGAGTACAAGGAAATCTGGTGTTGAGATGAATGGGCATGGTAAAAAAAGGAGAGATGAGTTTGTGTTGGAGAGGAATCGAAGTGCAAGGTATTCGCCTAACAATATCGATAATGGGCTCTTAAGATTTTACTTGACGCCAATGAGGAGTAGCTGGAGAGGTGGATCAGGGAAAAGCAGGCCGAATAACTCACATTCAATTGCAAGAAGTATACTGCGACTGTACTGAGATTGAAGGTCTTTTAAATTGTTCTTTGTTTTGATGTTAATTTTATGCATTTCTTTGTGTAAGCACACATGCTTTTGTATTCTTGATGGATAATTTAAATGATAGTGCCCTGCATCATGTGTTGCTGCCTATTTGAGAACTTCAATTAATAACAAGCAAATTTGGTGTTTCTTCTGTTTTTAACTATACTAATGTTATGCATTGCATTGTTTTACTTTTTTCCATATTTGCTATGAAATTTAGTTGTGCCATATGGAGTAAAATTTTCCCTATGTGCTTACGTTTGGCTCCCATGTTGATACCTTTCTGATCTTATCCTGCATTTTTGGTGATTTGTAACTGTTGAAAGGAATTATTCAGGGGATGTTTACCTGTAGTATTGGCATGTTCTATGTTTTTATAACAGTAGTGATGATGTGGGCTCAAACTATGCAGTTCTAACTGTTTGTCATTGCTGATTGGTCCAGAATAACGTAATACAACTGAATTCTGTTGTTATGACAATCGCTATCGACAAATCCATTTATGGTATTGACATGCTCAATGCCTTCATTATTAGTGTAACGACAAACTAGGAAGCTGATGTCCTCATTAATCCTTGTTAATTCCACCATCTGCTTTTTGTATCTTGAACTGAAATTTTTCCTCTGAATGTCTGTGTAATCTTGTATGTTTAGGGGCAGATATTATGCGATGAAATATCAATGCTCAACTTCTGATGTCAGCTTTCAACCACGTCCCATTTTGAATCTGACATAACTCAGTAGAGGAGTCCTGTTGGCAAGGACCCAAAATCTTGGACCTAGATGGTTGCTCATGTTTTCCCATGGATACGAATGAGAATTAAAGTATAGCATGCAAATGTAGTTGTGTCTAAAGGATTGTCTGATTCCCTTCAGGTTCCATGAGCCCTATGGTTATGGTGTGAAAAACTTCGAAGGATGTTAGTTTCGTGGAAGTGATCTTAGTAATTGTTCTTTTCTCAGTTCTTTATTGCTAGTTGATCAGTTCCGGAGAAATCATGGTTGGTTTGTCATTGTCTTTTGAACAAAACTGGCACAAATGGTGTTATATCTCTTAAGAATTAAGTAAATAGTTTGAAAAATGGGAAGTCAGCAGGACAACTTAAGGGTGATATATTTTCAGAACCTTTCCGCTCTCTCCCTCTCTCTCTACTTATGGTTGTAGTTTTATTCTGTCTAAACTGACCTTTTTTTCTCACTTTTTATTTGGTATGCAGAAAGAATGGCATTTTTCTAGCTCTTGGTATGCAGAAAGAATGATCAGTTGTTAAAGATCTGAAAACCCGGTTTCATCAGGTGGTAATGGAAGAAAGCTACTTATGTTTACACAACATAGGAACTTCCAATACTCATGATGGCAGTGGGCTTCAAAAGCGAGAGTGTTGATGATAGTGCAGCTCATTTCTTCCCATGATTATCCGAGCCATCCTGTCCCATTCTTAGTTAGTTGAAGTTATCAATCAAGGTGAAACTGGGACATACAATGTCCTGAAGCTTCCTATCCCTTCAAATTTAAACTTTTATTTTGAAAAACTTGTACAAAAGGCTACTGAATCAGAATATGTAATGCCCATGTCCAGACCGTATCAACTAGAAGAGCTCAGTTCTTTCCGGGATCCTTTTTTATCTTTCTTTCTTAAATTGGTTCTGTATCTTTTAATAGAAATTGGTTAATGGCTAAGAAATGCATTGGGGGATTTGTTAAATATGGAAGATTGTTATTTGTTTTGGTATATCTATTTTCCTTGTTAGTATAAAAATTTGAATTGATGTTGCTTGGTGTGACTATGACCTATATCACATATTTGCTCCTGAGTAAATATATGAAGTCAGCAACAGGGAATGTGAGTAGTTCTTAGTTAACTTAAGAGCTATATTTCTGTCGTAAGTTTTATGAGGGTTCTGCTTTTCTCGAGTTTAAAGGATCAAAAGCATTTCTTTTTGGCTGAATGACATGGTTAAAGGAATTTCACCCCCCCCCCCCTCTCTCTATTCCCTCTTTCATCTTTTTAAGTCTGTTTTTGGTGTTTCAGGAATGAACTGATTTGAGATTGTGTTTCACCTAGCAGTGGACAATAGTCTATTTTGCATTTTAGTTTTTATATTAGGAAACCATGAACACTTACAGGAGAACAATCCTTCGTGCTGACTAGCTTGTTGCTTCATACTTTTTTGCTTTTCTTAACAAGTGAAAAATTCTGTGGACAGTGATGAAATGTACAACTCGTGGGCGACGATGTTTTGGCTTGCTTGATGCTTCATCGTTTTATTTATCAGTACACAGGACGATTAATGTCTTTCGCTGCTTGAGTTTATGCCATTGAGGTGATGAATTGATTTGTATGCTCAATCTATGTTAACGGCTCTTATATTCTCTAAGTTGTTATAGTGTGGGTCAAAGTGTGATTGTACGCTTAATCTGTGTTAAGGGCTCCTATATTCTTCAAGTTGTTAAAGTGTGGGTTGTTTGAAAGAGATTTACAAACTGGATGAGTTAAGAATCCGGCGAAGTTAGGTTCGAAATGAAAGTCTATATAACAATGACAAATAGAGAGAAAATGTTTTTTGTTTCTCGTGAATGCCTATCTTCTTATGTTACTTCCTTCTCGCTCCAAGCCTCTTTAAGCAAAATATGCATTTCATGTATATTCTCTGGATCTGCTAAGTACATAATCTACGATAAGATGCTTTAGCATCTTCCTTTTGGGAAGCAAGTGTAAATTCACATGTGAAATCAAGAAAAGGAAAAGAACCTTAGTCCATTAAATTCTAAAGAAGATTTACATGTTGCAAAAGAAAACATTGACCAGGAAAGTCACAACAAAGTTGTTTAAACACTAAATGGCCCAAAACAGAAAATCAAACCTAGCAATGATTATGCTCAAAAAATGAGTTTCCCCCCCCCCCCCCCCCCTCTTATTGGGAAAATCAATTGAATCAAACTAAACAAAGCACAATAATTCTGTTGAGTTTCAACTTATGTTTTGTCTTTTTTTCCCCATCCATGTAAAAGCTCCATGATCAAAATATGCTTGCCTCAAATGTCAAAAAGTGACAAAGGAAAACATCCCAACATTATTCCTTCAAGAAGAAATAAAGGAAGAAAGAAGGAAAGAAAAAGATAAAAAGAGGCTCATTACCCAATGACCCCTCAATAAGAGTTGGTTGGAAAGATTTTATGTTTGGAGAACTATGGGGTGTCTTTGTCAGCAGTTATCTACTTGGTCCAACAGTAAGAATCGATAATTGAGTCGAGTTTTGTGAGTTCGAGTTAAATTTTTCAAACTTATATTCTTAAACGAGCCTAAAATAATGTTTAAGTTTAGCTCGTTTAGAAAATGAGCCCGAACAGAGTCCAAAACAAGCCTAACTCGAATAACTCAACTATTTTACATATAAACAAATTGAATTTTACAAGCTTAAACTAAGCCTTTTAGGCTCGTTTTTCTAACTGAGCATAGAAAATTGTTTAAGCTCGACTCGTTTTCTCGTTTAAAATACTAACCGAACTCGAGTTAAACCTGAGTAACTTAATTCAATTAACAACCCTATCAGTAGTCCCATATTTCTTCTTACCATTAGATATTTTGTTTGTAGTACTGCCAAAAATTTTCTTAAAGCTTCTGGGAATTTTCCTCCTCTGAGCTGTACTTTGAAAACTATAGAATGAAAAAAAAGAGCTTTACATCTAAAACTTTGAGACCATATAAAATAATGTTGATTTGAATGTATGTTTGCTATGAATGTATGCACTCTACATTCTATCATGTGGTGGAGTTGAGTTTCTTTAAGTGCCTTGAGCACAAAGAACTATATAGGCTATTCATTGTCCACATTGTGCATGTTGTTTGCACCAAGGGATTCACTCATCTATTTATCTACTACAATCCGCCTGTGAAATGAATTCCTTGGTTCTGTCAGCAGCACTGAAAACGACTCCATTTTGTTTACATTCCACATTAAATCATGGTTTAAGGTCGTGATATCGAGTATTGCAATTTTGAGATGCATCGATTGCAGAGTATGAGCCAGTAACACACGATATACACGAAATGTCACATAGAATAAATTGAACATGATGAAAGAGAATTAGGCCATATAGTGATGTTGTAAAACGAGACTAGTCATTTCGGTGACAATGACTTAAGCGACTTTGAATTGACTCAGAAACATCTCAGATGACTCAGTCGAGTCAACAGAGACTCATGGTTTACATTAAACATAAAACAGTAGTCACATTTAAATACTGGCCTAGTCTAGGGAAATAACTATTGCGATAGAATTTGATTGTCGTGCATCCAATCCCAACTTAAAACTTCTATGACATCCAAGTCAAATTTTATGAGATATGGAGCTTATGAAAATGAGCAAACCATGAAATCACGTCTCTAATACATATCCGACTTTAACTCAAATTTATGTTAACGTTTAAGTAAAAAATTTAATTTCATACAAAACACTTCAACAAAGAAAGTCAAGTGTACATAAGGATACATTCAAATTTAAATAAGGACAAATTCAAATTTAAAGTAGAATATAATATGACTATTAGATATTTGAAGGAAAATAAAATTTAACCATTGTTGATTTGAGTAAATGTTTAAATCTCTCTTGATTTAACAATTTGAGTTTTCCTTGATTTGGTATGAGTTTGGATATAAAATTGAAGAAGGTTTTTAAAATTTTTTTACCCAAATTTAAATTTGAGTTTAAAAAATAGTAGAGATTGAAGATGCAGACATAGACAACATGGCATACAAATATGAGAGTTAAGAATTCTCCATAGGCTCAAGTCTCAACAATGTCTAACTTGAGTATTACTTTAATTAAATTTAACTTCGTACTCTAATATCGCATTCGCATAAATAATATATGATTTTCATGCAAAATTTTATGCTCTACGCACTAATTATTGTATTTCAGCATCTTCAACATACTGATCCTTAGTATTTATCAATTTGTGACAATAAGTTTAATCAAATTGAGTTTTGTAATTTTGACTAACCGTAACTTTATACTCAGATGTAGCATTCGCAATTGTGATATATTTTTTTCCATGAAAATTTTCATTCTCCACACACTGATTAGAGTTTTTCATCCTCCACGACACGATAATCCTTTAAATTTATCATCTCTTTTAGGTTGATACACTAGTTTAACTAGAGATAACTTTCTATCATTGACAAACCTTAATTTTGTACTTGAATGTCGCATTTGCACGAGTAATACATGATTTTCATCAAAATTTCACGTTGCACACACTGATCATGGTGTTTCATCCTCTGCAACGGCTAACATTACACTGGGATCCAATTGAGCCCTGAAATTTCTTTTCTCTTTCTTTCAAGGCAAGCATAAAAAAGAAGTCAATTAACCAGAACAACCTCAAAGCACATGCACATTTTCTTCATTAATTCTACAATGCAAGCACTTGGATACTAATCTCCGCCTGATTAGTAAAATAAGAGTCATTCTAATCCAAATGTTAAAGAGTCTGTTTTTGGAAACGAAAGAAGATTACTGCCGAATAATATCCCCATGTCAGCCTATTAAGGCTTTTGGGCTGAAACCATCGGTCACCTAGAGCCATTACACAATTGAAAACGACAATTTTTGTAGGATGGTCTTACCCTTGAACATCGAAGTCAAGTCGAGTTAGTCTGGATCCCCTGTTGTACAGCAGGGCTACTGTTTTCTCAAAATGACGTCGTTTTTTGTGCAAAAGCACTCTTACTATACATCAAGGGCTCTGAACTCCAAGTTGAGTACTTCCAAGGTAAATGATGTTCCAAAAATCCAGAAAGAAGTGCAGAAAAACCAAAACTTTGATGCAACAAACCAATGAGCTTCCCAGTTGCTACGGACATAACCAAAATTTCAGGGGTTGCTATATTCCCTAAAACGCAAGGAACATTTGCGGAGTATTCGGGAAAAAATATGGCTGCAGAATGAAGATCGAGGAAGGAGGGAGGTAGCCCGGGATTATAGAACAAACCCTCTAGTCTTTATACATTGCAGGGGTTTTAGATACTTTCTAGCATGGGATCAATCAAGAACGCTGACGTAAGTATTGAGTTTTCATATTTTTCGAACTTCCTCTGATGGTACTCCTGGCATTATGCCTTCCCATTAAACCCATGTACTTAATATTCCTCACCTTGTCATCATCACTGTCAACTTCTTCTAGGGATGACCTGATCTGGACGCTCATGTGTCTAGGGATGAACACATTAAAGTAGTAACTCAAAATACTTCTTCTGCACTTGTATGGGAAGCATTCCAAGGCAAGCTTCAAAAATTTCTTTCCATTTGATGAAAGACTCACTTTCACAAGTGACTCGAAGCTTTGTTGTTCCTTCAATGTCCACGTCTTTGAAACAACTTCTCCCATCTCATCAAACTTCCAACTTAAAAATGTAGGACCGAGCTCATATTGCAGAAGGAACCTCTCTTCAAAAATGTGGAAGTTAATACAATCAGTTGATCCAGGAGACATACACAAGCAAGAGTCGGACCTCCCTTTTCCCACTGCTTTACCTGTCTGTTTTTTGTTTTTGTCTTCTATGGGCCAAAGCCGGGTGCCAAACCACCTTGAAGTTTCAGGATCACAAATTTTACTGTTCAGAATACCCTTGTTGAAGGGACCAGTCCAATCTGGAACATCAGCCTGGAAGTGTGGCCCAACCGGAATAGCCATTCTTTGAAAATGATCACCAATGAAGTTTGAAAACCAGATTGATTGCCTAGGTTTCTGAAGATGCGTTTGCTTCGAAACCAATTCTGAGGAGCTTAAACTGTGAACGGAGTCGCCCAAATCCATGGAGGGTGTATCCTGGATAGTCAGGTTCTCTGGACTTAATGTGTTTGTGATTGATTCATCAGAATCAACCAAAGGAGAAACATCACTGTTCGGTGGACTCCAGTCTGTTGCATAATCCATAAAGGAGAAATCAGAAGATAGCTGCTTCTCTTGAAAATCATCCTCAAATGTCAACAAGCTGCTTGAACTATGTGAGGTCAAAAGAGGTTTCTGACCTAAACTTTCAGTGGACCCAACTGAATTGAGCAAGCTTGAAATGGACGAGGTCTGAGATAACTGCCCTATATTCAATATTGTCACCTTTTGTTGGTTGGATACCCCTGAAGCCAATACAGGGACAACTCCGAACTTATCTTTCAGAAATTGGTGCAATTTCCGCTTCCGCTGGAAAAAAGAGTTAGGAAAATGGTGTTCCTTTTAATCAACACGAGTGACAAAAATGAAGTTCATGTTCAGGAGATGACAACTGCAGCCTATAACATGTAGAAAACTCAACCACAAGATAGCAACTTAATGCCCATCGCCCAAAAACAAGAGAGTTTCCTATAATTGTGATATTTCCATTAATCTAAACATGGGCGGATTAGAGGGATTTTCTTCAATTAATTGTATGTTCCCCTAAACAGTACTTGTAAAAATCTAAGAAGCAAATTAGGTTATTTCAGTAGAAATTATAGACATATGAGGTGAAAAAAAAGAAGCTTAATCAAAGAGATTCAAACTCTTAACCTTGTGATGGTACAGAAAGGGATATATGTCATAGGTGAGACGGAGGAATTGAGTTAACATAACAAAAGGAAAAGAAATGTAGATCAAGACCCTAACAAGCGCTAAGCAAAAATCATATTTGCGCAGTATCAAATTTCCACAACTCAACATGAAGTCTACATAGCTGTTTATTAGTTGGTTGACCTGTCCAAGCTACAATGCACATTAGAATGTTGATAATTGATTAATGCTATTCTCGTCAGGTACATAAAGAGACAAAAAATCCAGACTACCTTCGGACTTCATATAAGATCCACAGGACATAGGGTACTCGTAAACAGGATATGGATCAATAACTTGACCCGGTCATAGACTTATGGATCAGCCACACAACCTATATGCATCCATTCTGGTGAAGGCCAAAATACCCTTCTCATGAAACCTAATAGGGCATAAGTAAAACTACACGAGCAACTCATTAAAATAAAATTAATGAAAAGTAAGACTCAAATCAGCAAAATACTTGAACACGAAAATTCTATTCGTACTGAAATTTTGGGTTAATTTCAATGCATGTATGTGGCTATTTTAAGTCAGTATGCTGTTGGAACATCTTTTTATGATTTCATATATTTTTTTTGTTGTAAATTTAGATTAACTGGATGTGCTGCAATGATTTTCCCATGACTCCAATTTTGGATCAACTACAGATATTGAATCCTTACATGGATCCTTTAGTATGTCCAAAGCAGGATCACAAGTCAAATGAACAAAATTATCTATTTCTGAATCTAGTTTGAACAGAAGTCGGAAATTACAGTATCAAATCCACATCTTCTCTTTTGTTACTATTCTTGGGCTGTTGTTCACAACACCAGAGCAGTTCCTAATTTCAAATCCAAACATAGACCTCACTAGTCCCTAATCAATCAACCAAAACCATTTCCCTTACCTATAGCATTTCACATTAGTCCCATAAACAGATAAACTGAAACTTCAGCAATGTAAGACTTTGGAAACCATCTAGTAACCCTACAAAATTCCCATAACCTCAACCGACACAAAGCCATTCATATGCAGTATTATGTAGAGTTCTCTACTACTGCATTACTCATAATTCATACCTTTCAGAGTTTGTCGTCAGAATCTAAAATTTCAACCATAAAATGAAACATTTATCTGCATATCTCCACGATTGATGAACTAGTCACAAATATAAGTAAAGTTCCAAAGTTTTTACCCATTTGCAAATAATGAGAGAGTGACAACATGTCTTTATTTCCAAACCATGTACTCTTAACGTTTTTCCCACCTAGCTCTAAATTTAAAGTTGTTCCAATGGTCCATAACGAAAGCCCTGAAGTTCTTCAATCTGACTACAATTGACTGAAAAGTGAAAACAGAGTTTCCATGGAGTCTATCTTTTTGAGTTAATTATGGATATACTTAGGTGCACACAGGAACTAACATTTGGTGCAGCTTATTCTCATTCCTTGACATGCATCAAAAGCGTAGCACTAAACAGATGAATTGGTAATGGTTCAATCCATGAACTCACATTTTTTTTTATAAATCCCTTTTTTTTTTGCACTTTTGTGGATTGGTCAAGACAGTGCTCAACCTCCTAGAAGCTAGTGGCGTAGAAAAGACCTTTGATGTTGTGAGCTATGATAAAGAACAAAGGGAAAAAAAGAAACCTATAAATGGTCCCATGTAAAGCAGAATGGCAATGCTTTAACTGTAGAGCCAATTGCAAAAAATTAGAAAACACGCTTGAAATAGAAATATGAATATTGAATATGACCTTACCCAAGGAAACTCAGTGTCACTCAGAGCCATTAAATTTCGCACTGTAAGAGTCTGATCCCGTAATGGCGAGATTTCATCCTGTAATAATTCTGAATTACAAGGATCAAGAGCAAGAGCTTTTAGCTGAGACAACATATCCACATCAGCATATCTTCCAAAAATAAATTTTCTTTGTGTGGCATCGCCTCCCTTGGGAGAAGAACCTTTGTCATTTTTCTCCTCCTTCCCAACCCGTGATACAGTCATCTTCATTTGCACAACCCTGAAGTTTATTTATATCAAAATTCAACCCTGAAATCAGAATTCACTTACTCATTAGACTTGCCATTTGCTACTCCCAACCAGATTATACACAAATTATATGCTACTACTAATCTAAGCAAAAATCAACATAATTACTTAAATAGCACTTCAAGAAACAATAGTACCAAAATTTAACCGGTTCACTTCTCTTCGGAGGGTTTCAACAAGAAGTTAACGAGCAAAGTCTAAGACACTTCAATCAAGTAAACCCAGTAGTATTAAATGCAGTCATTACTCCAATTTTGTTACTAATAAGCATTTATCTCGACTTTAGCTAATTCAGAACACCGAGTCATCGTTATTGTCCAAGCATTAACAGTCACTGACCAAGTCATTCAGCTTCACCAACAAAACTCACCCAATCATTTGCCCTTTGCACACACACATTCATAAGGAAAAAACGGACGAATCCCTACACGAGAAATCGTGAGTTAGGATTTAGAATGTGAATGGGATTGAACTCTCAATCACATAATTGGGATTTCTTCGTACATCCATTACAACTCGCGAATATCAATAGAGAGCCATTACCAACTTCATCTTAGTCATACGTTCATATAAATATTTTTACGTGCGTGTGTGTGAGAGAGAGGGTGAGAAACTTTCAGATGGATCTCGAGAAAAGCAGGAAGTGAAGTCATGGTGGTGAGATTCGTATCGAGAGACAGGGAGAGAATGAGGGCTTTTGGCGCCCTTCACTTTCTCTCTTTAGCTGAGCTTGGAAAGAAAGGGTGTGTGTGTGTGTGTGTGTGTGAGAGAGAGAGAGAGAGAGAGTGACCTTGAGCGGTTTAGTTTGATGACTTCCTAACAAAACTGTGGCGTCGCTTTTGCTCCAATCATCTTCGAGAGAGGACGGAGAGAGAAGAAGAGACGGAAGACGGGTATGGAGTCTGGAATCTGGATCGAGTGGGTGGGTGGGTTCATCTGGATCCGAGAGAAAATTAAATAAAAGGGAAACTATGATTTTTCCCAATAAAAAGAAAAATAATTGTTAATGTTAAAAGCACCATAAAAATAAATAGAAAAGAATATAGAAGTTATGGAGGTAAATATTTCATAATAAGGAAGTTATTAAGTATTTTATCTATCGGTTTCATCCTTGTACAACACGTGTGAGATTCAAGGTCTCATTTAATTCAATTACAATATAGCATTAGTAAAGTATATACATTAATCTGTATATACAATGTACAATATATAATAAATGTATTCATCATTTTTAATACATGAATCATATTAATTAGATACATGTACATTATATATACATGAATGAGTTGGATACATAAACTCTAGAAAGTTCTAAGAGCCTATAAATAAGGCCTAATTAATAATACATATTAATGAATTTTTATATACAATATATAATAGATATAAATGTATCATAGTATTATACTAGTTATTGCATGCATCTGAAAGCACAAAGTAATAAAAAATAAAAAATATATTTATGATTTATATCTAAAATCAAATCACAAACATAAAAAAAGAAATAAAAAAAATTTAAATATCGATTTATTGTGAAAATGAGAGGTGGTAGGCGACAATAGTAGTGATACGAAACGGTGAATGTTGTGATGGGTAGCAATGATCGAGGTTGAGGTGGCGGTGGCGGCGACGATAGTGGCATTGGTGATGGCGACGGCGACGGTGGTGGTGGTTGGAGTGGTAATGGTGGTGGCAACGGTGGTAGTGGTTATGGTGATGGTGGGGGGTGGAGGGGGGTAGAGGTAGTGGTGGGACGATTTCAAACACTATTTTAAAAAAAATATATTTATGAAAAATAATTTCTAAAAATATTTTTAAAAAGTCACTCCAAATACACTCTTAGGGACCTATTTTTTCTTTAAATTTAGAGTATTAATATTAACCGTTAGATTAATTTTAAAGTAAAATTTAAAACGATCTCAACCGCGAATAGCAAAAGTCATTTTGTTTATCTTTTGAAATTTGAATTGTAAGCTATTTTATTATATACTAGTTATTACATGTGCCTGAAGGCACAATATAATAAAAAATGGTAAATAATAAACATATTTATTTTCATATCAAAAATTAAATTACAAACGTAGAGAAGAGATACAAAAATTTAAGCATCAATTTATAGTGGGGGATTGAGAGGTGGTGGACGGCAGTGATGGTGATAGGAGACGGTAATGGTTGCAGTGGGTGACAATGACCGTGGTGGCAGCGAGGGCGGTGGTGGGGGGGTGGTGACGGTGGTGGCAGAGGTGGTGACCATAGTGGCTGCGGTGGGGGTGGTGGTGGTGGTGGCGGCGACGATGACAGTGGTGGTCGTGGTGGTGGCGGCGGCGACGAAGGTGGTGGTGGTGGTGGGGATGGTGGTAGTAGAGGTAGTGGTGAGACGGTTTCAAACACTATTATTTTTTTTTAAAGTAGTCATGAGAAATAATTTCTAAAAGTACTTTTAAAAAATTACTCAAAACACACCTTAGAGGTCTATTTTTCCTATTAAATTTAGGGTGTTAATATTAGTCGTTAGATTAACTTTAAAGTAAAATTTAAAGCGATCTTAACCGCGAATAGCAAAATCCATTTTGTTTATCTTTTGAGATTTGAATTGTAAGCTATTTTATTATATAGATATTATTATATATATGTATAACTATATATTTGTACATGAATACTATCTAATACATGTATCATTTTTAATAAATGAATCATATTTATTAGATACATGTACAAGTAGGGAGCGGCTCAAGCAAATTTGAGGCCTAAAACAAAAATATTAAATGGAGGCCTTTTATTTTTAGTATTATATTTTTAAAAAAAATTAATTTATTTTTAATTTTCTATGTAAGAGAGGGACAAAAGAAGGTTGTGTTAATATTGTTGAGAAAAAGATTTCAACATTTGTTTTTGTTTTTTATTTTTTTATTAGATGGAGAGAGAGAGAGAGAGGGGAGAGAAAGAGAGAGTGGATTGAAGTAAATATGAGTTAACTTTTGAATATTTTTTTAATTTCTAAGTTTTCGATGTTATGAATTTGATTATATGTCCAAATTATTAAAATAAAAATTTTAATTGAATTAAATTTTTTTTTTGTGAACTAGTAATGTATCTAAAATTATGAGACCTTCAAAAAATTTGGATCCTAAAGCCCATATTTTTTTTCATACTGTTGGGCTGCCCTTGTGTACAAGTTAGATACATGTATATTATATACATGAATGAATTGTATAAATAAACTCTAAAATATTCTAAAAGCCTGTTGAATATTTTTTTCATTAGGAAGATTTACAACAAGGATTACACATAAATATGCCACAAGGATTACACATATGCTCGATCGTGAGACTGTTGAACGGGCAATGACACCTTGCTCTAATTTGAGCTATGCAAGAACGATTTTCTTATGATTGATATATTTTTTTCATTAGAAGTAAATATTTGGCGTGAAAGTTATATAATGTCAGTATTTTTGATGAAAAAATATTATTTGAACTTAATTTGGAGACTTAATTCAATACAATCATTAGATCGATGGTAAGTTCTATCTAATATTAGAACTCACATCTAATTTAATATTTATATTAAAATCATATCATTAGGTTTTCAAATTATATCCCTATAGCATTGCTCATATTAATGTGGCGTAACTATTTAATCAAAAAAATTATAAAATAGATAAAATGTGACTATTTTTTATTAGGAAGAATTACACACAAATTCCATGAGATTTATAACTTAATTACTTAGATTTCATGACATCTGAAATATTATACACAGAGTAATGATATTTGTACGCACATAACGCTTTCGTCAATGTTTGCTAGTATATTCATTAGTAAATTACACACAAACTCTCTAAAGTTTATAGACGTACAATACTTAAATTTTTTAAGTTTAAAATATTTTACTTAGACAAAAAATACTACAATCAAAAATAAAATATCAATATTTTAAATTTTATAACCAAAATTTCTAACTTTGATTAAAATATTTTTGGTATAAATATAATATTTTAAACTTAAGAAGTCTATGTAATACATGTCTACAAATTTCATAAGGTCTAGATATAATTTATTAACAAATATACTAATGGATATTGATCATAAGTGTTTAAATGTTATGCACGTACAAATTTTTTAAAATCTATGTGATATTTCTAATTTTAAAGAGTTTGAATGATTAAGCAATAAATTTCAGGTTCTTGATATAATTCTCCCTTTTAATACATACACAAGACTAATGCTACACAATATTATAATTTAATATCAGTAACTTTAATTACGAGAATTGCTAGGATGATTATGTATTACATGATTAATAGTTAGACGGTTACGCCACGTGTGATGCATGCTGATGGCGTAACTGTCGCACCAATTGTTTTTCATGTATTATTTATTATATATATGGCCTCTCTATCCCTCTCTCTCTTTCTGTGTATTGCGCCTGCACAAGCCAAATCAAGAATCACCAGGAATCTCTGGTCACCTTTCTCCCCCTATTTTCCCTTTGCGTCAACACTCCACACTTTCGAGTACACTGCAAATCAATTCTTCTTCGAATAATCATCATCCAATGGGACCTAAGAATAAGAGAAACCGGAAAAACCCTCATTCACACGCCAAACCACGGACGACGGCCAAGAACGCTACCGCCAGCGGAGGAGAACCGCCGAATACCAGTTCTTCCGACAATCTCCTCCAAGAACAGAGTAATGCAGAACAACTCGAGAATGGTTCGATCAATGATGAATGTGAGCGCTCGCTCGCCATTCTTCACAGAGGAAACCCAACCGAAGCCCTGAAACTCATCAAAGACGCGTGTGATCGATACGAAAACTCCGGCCTCGTACACCACACTCGAGCCTCTATACACGCCAGAGTCGCTTCTGAAATCGGAGACAGAGCCGCTTATCAAGAACTTATGAAAAATGCTCTGGAGTCTGCGAAGAAAGCCGTCTCGCTCTCGCGCGACTCGATTGAATTCGCTCGTACACATGCGGGTTTGCTCTTTCAATTGTCGAGCAATGTTCAAGATTACGAACAAGTTGTGAAAGAATGTGAGCGAGCTCTATCGATGTATAATCTTCTGCCTGTTAAAAAAAGATCAGAAAAAGATCTTAAATCTATAGATAAAGAATTGAATTCGATTCTGAATAAAGCAAAGATTGGGTTGATGGCGACTGGGAAGAATAATGTTGGAACTGGTGAGAACAAGTCTGGATTTACAGAGGATCCAATCTTAACAAAAATAAAGAAGGCGGACAAGAAAGGCAAACTTGAAGAAAAGAAGAGCAATGGTGATGTGGAGAAGATCAGGCTGGAGACAAGAAAGATTCGGGAGTTTTGGAACTCTTTTAGTGCTGAGAAAAAGCGAGAGTTTGTTAGACCAAGAATCAATGATGTTAAGGTGTATTGTTATGAGTTTAAGGGTGTTTTGGGTGCCGAGGATTTGTTGAGCGCTCTTGGTCATGGTGAGGAAGCTCGTTCTTGGAAGTACTGGGGGTGTTGCGTTTGTGAGCACAGATCTCCAGATGGCGGTTCACTTATTTATCATCTATGGCAGAAGCATTTGGAGCCCCTATCAAGAAGGTTGACTGCAATTCTGCCTCAAACAATTGATGGTCCTACTGTGCGAATGCTAACGAATGGTACGTGGAAGCCTGTGGATACTGCTGAGGCAGTGAGAATTATTGAAAATGAGTCAAAAGATCCGGATGATCAGAACTGGCCAATGTCGGATGATTCTGAGCGTGCACATATTCTTGAAAGAATCCATAGCATGTTCCAGTTGCTTCTGCAACACAAGTGTATTGCTCTGAGCCATTTTAAGATGGTGATGGTCCTGGCCGAGAACATGCTCGAGAAATATAGTGCACTTTCCTCATCTCAACTTCGGACCCATGGCCTGCACCAAAACCCCATATGCATCTGCTTTTTGGGGGCTTCTCAGCTGGTGAGGATTCTCGATTTCTTGCAGCATTTGCATTCTGTGGCAGATTGTTTCAAGGAAGATGAAATTAATGTCAATCAGGAATTTGAAGCCAAAGTAAAGGTTGTTTTATGTGTTGACAAGATGTGTCTCTCTTTTGATCCGAGTGTACGCTATGGGGAGCTTACGCCCTCCCCGTATCATAACGTCAGCCGACTAGCCGTGGATGGTGCTTCTGAGACAACTTTTGCAGTTAGTGATCAGGACGTTGATGTCCTGCCAGACACCGATGCTTTTGTAAAATGGTTGTTTGAGGGTTGTACAATTGAAGAAGAGCTAGCATCATGGCAACGCCTAAAAGATGATAAAGATAAGAAAGGGATGGAAATTTATCTTATCCTTAAGGAGGGATGTGTTCCATTTGAAAACTTGTGTGGGAGAAGATATGAGTGTTTAATCCAAGTCGAAGCAATACGCGCAACAAGAACGATCTTAGCTGAGGAACGTAAGAGAAGGGAGCAAGGTGCAAATTATATGCCACAAAGCTTTGTGTCCCTCTTGAAAAGGAGGCAAGAAGAACTTGTTGAGAGCGGAAGTGATAGCGATAGTGATAGAGCTGAGTTGAATGTCATAGGCACAATTCTTGAAGATGAAGGAGCTCGAGCTACAACCGTAAACGAGGTTGGATCTGGAAAACCCGACTCTTGCCACTTCTCATTTTTGTGATTTTCAATGTCATGGAAATGAGTAATGCAAAAATGCAGGATCGTGAGCATCTAGGAGACAATTGCATAACAAAACAGCTTCAAGAGTTATGGGAGGAGCGTTCAAGAGAGGTGAGCATGTTGCTTCCAGGCACCCAGATTGTTCTCGAATGATATAATCATGCGATGTAGTTTTAGAATCTGTCAATGACATTTTAAAGCTTTTCCATTGACTCATAATGTGAATTTTCACCCAGTAGCCTGTGGAATTCTACATTAGTTTTGGCAAGGTCAAGTGGATAGGGGACGATTTTTTTTTGTTCTATTTCTTGTTCTTTAACTAAATGTTTTCATGATATGTTCCGGGAGTCTAATTACATTCTCTCCTGCAGGTTTTCAACATTGATGCCAGGATCCTACGGAGCTTAAATAGTATACGACGGCTGAATTTTCAACTTGCACAAGTATCAGGTCATGACTACCAGTTGATTATAGTTCCCCTTCTGAAGTCATTCTTGCAGGTTTAAATTCCATACATTTAAATATTTTCTTTACATTCCTATCATTTGTAGGCCCTGACTTTGATGTTCTCACACGAGAGCTCTATTTTCCAGGTACAATTGCAGGAGTTGTTTCGTGAAGCTTTGTTAGAAGAGCTTGAATCTGATACCAGCAAGAATCTTAGCAAGGGATGCAATCAGAAACATACTCGAGGAAAATTGAAGGCTAAGAAAAAGAAAAAAAAAATCAGAAAGGATGAGGATTCCAAGGTCTTAATATTGCGGAGTCTGGTTGAGTCATCTATTTACTGTTTCCCAGTGTTAGCTATTGTTTATTGTTGGTGAGAGGCAGTTTTATGCTTTCATAGCATGCAGGCTACTGGTGGAAAACCAAGACACAAGTTAGAAGAGAAGGATGCAGAACAAGCGTAAGCCCTTTTATAGCTCTCCTAGAAGGCAGCAGCAGCTGAAAAATTGGTTTTAAAAATCATGTCATTTTCTGCTATCTATTCCTAGGCCTATTTTGAGATTAACGAAATTTTGGCTTTGGCTTTTTCTCCAGTGACTTTTCTGTCCCCAATGATGGGCATTATGCAGAGTCCCAGATTGCTGTTTCTTCAAGTGCTGCTCAACTGAAACAGCAGGAAGAGGAACTTGATCGTAGAGCTGAGCTTGAAGTGGAGGAAAGAATGCTCGCAGAGAATTTGGAGCATCAAAGACAAAATGAGGATGAGGCTAAACGGAAGCAGCTTGCTGAGAAAAACAAACAAGCTGATGCAGGAACAACACTACAGGTAGGGGAGGCATTGTTGAGTGCAACTGGAATGCCAACAGATTTTCCAGGTGTTCCTGTGGACAAATTTGAGCAAATTACGTTGTCCTCCCCGGTTTCTGGTGATAGGCCTGAATGGAATATAAGTTGTTTGTCTCATGGAAAAGTCAATCATGGTAAGCAACCTTTCAGGAAAATAATGTTAACTAAGACTTCCTACTTGCACAGAACTTGCATGTCAGGCATTCATTGGCACACCACCTTTTTTGGGATGATGGACACCTTAAAGTAGGCAGAAGTATTATCAATCTTATCATCATTTTTACTGGTTTATTCTGTATTTTCTTCCGTCTGATCACAGCTCTTAACCTTGAACAAAGTTCATTAGTGTTGTTTCACATATACTCAGATATAGAGTCATTTCTCCTTTTGGGAAGTCACTCAATCTTTGCATTCTTTTTTCATGTCAAAGAAGACCCTGTTCTCTGTGTCACTACTAGCATGTAGATCTAAGATTTGCTAGATAATATATTGAGTAGAAACACCATTTTTGCACTAATGGCTTAGATATGGAAAATGCGCTCTAAGTTATGTCTTTTTTTGTGCAGCTTTTCATTCTAAAGAAACTCTTGCAGGTGTTTCATGGTCTTAGAATCAATTCTGGAAGGCAATGCATATGGTTGGACAGACCTGAAAAATCACCCAATGCCAGTACTTTTTTTTATTTTTATAATCACATTCAGCAAACCACCATAAATCATACACTAACTATATACACTACAGGAAGAACCACCTGACTAAAAAACATAATACTCAATTTAATATGAGTATATGCTTCCCTCCCCTGATATCTCTCTTTAAGCAGAAAAAATGGTACTTCCAATTATGTACTCAAGCCTGTGCAATAACAGCTCCTCAACCATAAAACCTGCCTATCTTGCTTTCTATTGAATGATTAAATTCAATGATGCTGTGCATTATTGTCTGTCAATATATCATGTAAACATAAGACTCTTTTAGCTTCTCTACCTGGTATCCAAGGAGCAAGGCATAAGCCAATGCACACTATATGAGGGGGGAAGCAAATCCCACGTCCCCTAGTTACCACACAGTGCAAGATTAGCTGGTTGAATGTCCTCTCCACCTCTATGCACACTGGTTTGTTTAATGGTGCTTTTGCACCTTAGATTTTCAATAGTAAGAATATCCTCCAAAGCTGCAGCCCATCCAAAAGAAAACCATTCTTAAAACATCTTTGGTTTGCCGGCGCCTTTCTAACAAATCCACCTCATGGTGTTTCTTCAGATTATGTCATATTGTTTGAACAAAAAGATCTTAACCAGTGCGCATTTTCACCTCACAATTCCCTCTCAGTCATAGAGAATTATCCTGTCTGTTGTTCTACACTGCTGTTCCTCCTGCATGACTTATGTAGCTTGTGTTTGTGATAAAAATCACCCTGTCAACCACCAACTTATCAGGTCAGGGGAATCCTCCTTGAGAGGAGAGTACAGACACAAAGCATCTTACCCAAAGTTAATTCTATTACCATCTCCCAGATGATGTGAGGGAATCCTTGCCTTCTTCTCCATATGGTTTGCCATACGTTCACCCCATGCAAGGATCTGGCATCTCCAGTAGTTTGTTCTGACAACCATTGTCATATTTCTCCTCAATAACTTCACGCCCTGGACTCTCCCGCTCCATCACATACCTCCTTAGTCATGTCCTTTGGAGTACTGGATACCGCCAACACCTCAATTGGGGAGCATGCCACTTACTCCACTCATTAATATTTGAATTCCTTCATATCCTTCCACTAGAAAGCCTTATTGAAGTTTCTTCAGTGTTTTCTCAACTGAGGCCGAAAAATGGTTGACAGAATCATAAAGCAGTAGGAAGAATTCCCAAAGTTGTTTTTACCAGGTTAAATGTTTCCCTTTTGAAAGGTTGTGTCTCAACCACCTTGCTGGCCTCATTTATGACCTTTTTCAGTGAGTTTAATCTATTTATCTGTCGTGAACTATCCCTGACCTCCGAAAACGGGATAGCTCACCTTTTTTTTTTGATTTTTCTGCAATTAAATTTTAGGACTTTAGACTGCCTCAAAATGGAGCACGAAACATTTAGATTGCTGAATTAATCCTCAGCATTATTTGTATGAGACAGTAATCCTCATCACATATAGCCTAATCATCCCGCCTCTGCAACGCTCAACAGCATCCTATTTTGGGCCCCTATGTAAGGGCTGCACGTTGGTGCGAGCCTGGATCAGCATAAGGTTCATGGCAACAACAGTAAGTACCATATGGGTTTAGAATTTTTTTTCTCTGCAATTTGTATTTCTTTATTACTTTAAAGGTGCTTATAATTTATGAAACTTGGAATAATTATTCATGTATCATTTCATTTGGCATCAATGTTTATTTTTGAATGAGATTTCACAAGTAATGGCAATAATGGAAAAGCATCCTCTATGCAAATTATGTACTCTGAAGACTTTGAAGGTGCTAATTGATTTTGAAACTTGATTTTATGAGTCAATTCTGCTTTCTTAAATTAAGTGTACATGCATAAGCACATACTGGAAACAGATTCTATCTCATCATGACCTGCTTTAGTTTGGACTCTTGTCTTGAGTCCCATTTTCTATTTTGGATGCTGCATGCTTGGTTTGTATTCTTCCTTTAAGATGTTATCTATTCAATAAGCACCATGCGTGAGGACCATTTGCTCAATTTATTGTTGTCTATTGTATCTGCTTCCTTTTGTGCATAAGTTGTATTGAAGTATAAATACTTAAGTTACAACCTCTTCAACAACTTAAGCTTTACGAGTAGATGGTTGTTTAACATGGAGAGTAGAGATCATGTGTTTGAATCTCATCATCACTCTAATTGTTAAAATATTTTCACTTGCTAGGCCAAAAAACTAGCATGCATGTGAGAGGGCGTGTTAAAGTATAATTACTTAAGTTACACCTTCTCCAATTGTTTAAGCTTTGAGAGTAGATGAATATTTAACAAGTTGATTGGATGAGTATTGTCTCTCTTTGTTGTGCAACTTTTACTGCAAACTGGAAAGTAACAAATATTCACATTTGATCATGATTACCAAAATCCCAATCCGGATCCTAGGATCTTACGATCCTACGATTCAATATAAGTAAATCGATTTAAGTCTCATGTAGGATCCCAAATTTATAGGATCTTAGTTAATCTCGATCTGAATCTTATAGGATTTTAGGATTCTGATCCAAACTGCAATTTTATCGATCAAAATGGTTGAGTTTGTTTGGTAGGCGTATTTAGTTATCGAGCAATTCAATCCATACTTTTCGGTTTTTATAGTTAAGTACTTAATACAAATGTGAATATCTTATATACTTGTGAGTCTATTCGCAAATTTCAAAGGATGAGAAAAGTTACATAAAATTTGTTTTCCAAAAATGTCTCTTTTTTCGTTGTCTTTCTTGCTGAAAAGTTGAAAGTAATAATTAGATTTAATCTTCTCTCACGGTGAGTGAACATAGCCAGAGATCTTTTATATTTTTTTCTTTATGCTTGTTTTGTTTGAATGTTGAATAGCCAAAAGTTATTATCCTACGGTCTTTCAACTTTCTAGTCTATATTATTTATCTCTTCTCCAAAAGTTAATATAAAAATACTTAAATTCTTTTATTCCTCCTTGCACAACCTCACAAAATTAACAGTTTATCTTTGATGTTAAACCTTCTTTAATGTTCAAATTGTAGTTTATCAAATTTAATCATACCTTAAGTTTGATCTTTATCGTTGTATTCATATTTTCATAGATACTAGGCTTGTTTAAGTCTTTTTTTTGAGAATTTTGCATTGCTACATATAATTTTTGTTTCATTTTCTCAGTTGATAGGATCCTACAATTCTTGCTTCGATCCTACCATTCCGATCTTGTTTAAACTTTGTTTTTGAGGAAAAAGAAAAAGAAAAACTTTATTCATCATCACCACTACTATCATTGTCATTACCAGTAAATTCATCCTATTAACTTTAATACATCCATTAGATAAATCAGGTTAACATCTTCATTCGCGTAACACCATGGTAATTACTTTGACGTGCAAGTGAGAATGTTTTCATAGGAAAAGAAAATTATATAGTATCCCTTGTAGCTGTTATAACTATTATGGATTGAAGATTCTTCATTGGGATATTGTATTTGATACGGAAAGCGTATCATGAGGGCAAACATTTGGAAGGATTTTTGACGTGGGACGTGAGATCAGGTGGTGTTGCCCTTTTTGTTTCACCATTGTAGCAAAGCGGGAGCTACGAGTTGAAATTATGTTGTTTGGAAGGAAGAAGGAATGCATTGTGCGACGTTGAGAGTTGCCACAGTGACATCTTTGCTCAAGAAGGGTGTTTGTTGTTGTTGATGATTAAAAGTTTGTTTTGGTGAAATGTTTTGGTCACTAAGAAATGAAAACGTTTCGGAACTAATAAAAAATTTGAAGAACTATTTCCAAAACTTTCTTTTCTGGGTTAGCCACGATTCCTCTCCTAGTTTTCTATCTTTGGGTGAATCCAAAGTCTCTCTAGTGGGACAATATCTCATCTTAGAATATTGGTCAAAATATTCGAAAATCTTTTAAAACACCTCAAAACATTTAAAAACAACTGAAAACTGAAACATCTTGAATTATTTTGAAAACATTGACATTTTGATTCGATCACTGATTAGTTTCGCTGTCCTTAAAATTGGAAATGTGTCAATCGTTTTGATCATTTCGAAGCGAAATTTAGATTCTCGGCTATTGAACTCCCATAAATTGGCTTTTCTTTGTCAGAATGGCAGTTGAACATATATGTTCCATCATATCATACTCGGTAATTGTTATGCTTGCAAGATGACAAAGAATGTGCAGATCATCTTCCTCTTCATTTACATTGGTTTGGGAACTCTAGGTTTTGTGTCTTTTCTTTGCTTTGATATTAGGAGAGTTATGCCAAATTTGGTATGTTGACTTTCCTTACAACGTAATCATTGGGCTCGTGCTGAATTTTTTAGGTGAAAAGAAGCGGTTTGAAAAGGTTCGTAAAAATGTCGAAGTTAAAAAAAGCCCCCAAAACCGTTTGGGTATTCTTTAAAAAGTCGGTTTAGAGTATTTTTTAGCTTTTTTGACTTTTTTTGTGTCAAAAAAAAATAAATAATAAGTATGTATAGATTATGCATAATAGTTCCCAAAATATGAATTTCAAATTTTTTTATGTAACTAATAATATTTTATGAATATTATAAACTAAAAAGTTATGTGGGACCCGCGATATTATAAACAGCTTCTTGCATCAGCCCAAATAAATTTTTTTGAGTCCAAAAAGTTGTTGCATTTGCTGGTCCAAAAAGCCCAAGACTCGACTTATTTTACTCCAAAAGCCATAAAATAGCATATTTCAACTAGCTCCAAAAAGGCCCATTGTTGAAAAATGGGACAGGAGAGTAGTGGCATGATCTAGAAGGTGGCCTTATGTCCCATTTGGTGTGTCAAGTAGCACCATGCTAAGAGACCATTTCAAAATGATGGAGGATTGATAAATGGGTTTGTCATTTGTCATTTTTTTGGAAGGAATGTGATGGTGAAGTGATGTCGAAGTTGAGAAATACCTAATATGTGAATGAAACACTTTTCCATAGAATCCACTGCAGTTGGTGCTCTTCTGCGTTCTATTTCAGATAGTAACTTGTAAAAGTAAAATAAAACAAAACGAAAATTTGCTTTTAGGATATATTTTGGCTTTCTGAACTATTTTTTTCGAATCTATTTTTCCTTTTTGGATATGTCTATCGGGCTTTAACTAAAACACGTCCATTGGAGAAAAAGGAACAGCATGCTTTTGGTTCACATCTCAGCAGACAATCCTATGATTGAGTCCATCTTTTGTTTCCTCATTTTTCAAATCCAATTAAGCATTCTATAAAGTCCATTGTCTTTAGAATAAAATTCCTACAGGACCAGAAAGGCTTTACTTTGCTTGAACCCATTCTAGCTGTGCAGCTATTCAAATTATTGTTACCACCCGATCAATTAAAAACTTATAAGCTTCCATGCCATATTACATTGTTTTTCTTTGCTCTGCATCAAATGAGGCATGCCACATTCTCTATTGTATCCGTTCTCAGTTTTCTGGTTGCGTATCAGTTTTTATCTTTTCATGTTCTAGCTTAATACTTCTTTAATCTGCAAACAGCTGAAGAGTGTTAAAAAAATGACATTCCATTTAAATGAGTTGTATAACCTATAAAGTGGTAAGGGAAAAACTGCATAGAAAAGAATGCCAAATTTTCAGCACCAGAATTCCAAAAGCAATATGCAGCAGACTGCTTCAAAATTGATGAGCGAAGAAGCATGAACCTCACATGAAGTCCTCAGTAGATAGAGATCTCAGACTGGTTGACAGCACTTTTCTGTCTCATCTTTCAGATAATTGAAACTATCCAAATGAGCTTTGCTTGGTGTTTTAATTTGTTTACCGTTTCAGGTGAATTACAAGAAGAGAGAGAAGACCTTGGGATCTTACCAACTGATGTCCCCGTCGAAACTGTAGGTGGATCAAGTATGTTCTTTGGGACAGGGATGAGAAATTGTGGTGAAAACAATTGCTTTATCAATGCAACTATACAGGTTGGTATTCAACGAACACACATGTATTGAATGTTAACCTTTTCCTTCCAACCCTCTACTTTCCACTGTGTGAAAACTGCAGTCTCTCTGGCATTTAAAATGGTTCCGAGATGAGCTTTTAAGCCTATCAGAGCATGAGGATGTTGGAGATCCTTGTGTTGTATGTGCTTTACGTAAGCTCTTTGAGACCCTAAGCATGGCTAATACAGATGGACAAAGAAAAGCTGTTTCTCCAACCTCTTTAAGGACTGCTCTAAGCATTTTGTACCCTGCTAATGTCAACTTTTTAGAGGTATGTTCACAGGAATTTGTTTTTTTTTGTTTCTGTCTTTCTGTTCTTGCCAATATGACCTTTCTATTCTTTTACAGGGACGAGAGGGCGAAGCTTATGAAGTGTTGGAATCAATATTGTGCTGTCTTCATGATTCATTTATCCATACACCGGGAATTTCTGATGCCAAATCACTAGAGAAAAAAGGCGCTGGCTCTTCACATTGCCCGATCAAGACTTGCATAGCACATACCTTTTTTGGATTGGATGACAGTTGTATGTCAGAAAGCCAGAATAAGAATGCTTATTTTCATTTCAAAACTGCCGATGAACTCAGAAAGGTGAAGGTTTGCTGCATATGAATAATGTTATGGCAGGATTTGCTGACTTCTGCTAATACAAGAAGAAACTTCCATAAGCAAAGTTTTTGTGGTCTCTGTGGTAGACAATAGACATAACTGTTAAGAAGTGATTTCTTTCCTTCCCAACTCAGATTATGGATGTGTGTGGCTCTCTTGATGAACCTTTGAAGCATGGGCACATCCAATTAGTCTGCATAGATGGTGTTGGTGGCGGAAGAAAGCGCATTCGTATCAAAGGTGTTCAGTCAACTCCACATGTATTCGCATTAGGTGAGTCCCTTTGTCAGAAAATTTGTCATTCTGGTATTAGCCATTGCTTAGTTGTTTCTATCTGGGCAATTGCAGTTATTGGTTGGGGCACCAATGTGATTGCTGATGACATATTAACGACATTGATTGCTCTTAATACTGAGGTAGAGATTGTCTTTTTGGATCAGGGAAACAAACATTGCCTTGTTTCAATGGTGAGTTAAATTATCCTTTAGTTTTCCTGGTGGTTGTTTACATTAAGAATCTTATAGTTAGTGTCCTGTGTCCACTTATTCTGGATTGCATTTGCCCCTTCCTCAACCCTGCCAACAAAAAACAGAAAAAAAGAAAAGAAAAGAAAAGAAAAGGGTTATGAAACTATACTGTCCAAATTACTTGGCAGTGCACTAAGAAATTGGCTGACTGTAATGAGTGAACGCATGGATGGTGCGTGCAGACATTTGGGCTGCCTACCTGGCAGTTGTCCAAATTACTCTATGATCAAACCATTGAAGGAGACTTGACAATAATGTTTTATGTAGGTGGGTAGGGTGTGGGAATTTGACATGAGGATCTAGAAAGGGGCTCACTCCCCAAGTTTCTCATCTTAACTATATGGCCCTTGCTTCATGGCTCCGACCATGCAAACAAATATATTTCCTCTTCCTCCAATTGCGGCAAATAAGGCAATGGGCGACAGCTCTCGACGCATGATTTTATTCCTGCCAAACTGTTTACTCCTATGTCACATTTGCCCTTGACACAAATTTTCTTATTTTCTGAAAGAAATTTCTTATACATTTTCTAGTGCAGCCAAATCTGTTTTTGTTGCTGATTTGATACAATTATAGCTATGCAAAATAAATTGTGTTACAAGACCAACATAGTTCTTTCCTAAAAGCCCTCCTGTTATTTTTAGGCTTGCTATTGTCAGCATCACTATTACTGCTTTGCTTACAACCATGAGCATGAAAGGTGGATTATGTTTGAGGATGAGAATGTGAAGGTACATTCATTTTGTATTTGAGATTACATCTCTTTAATTTTATTTTTAATTTTTCTGTGTACTATACATTTCATTCCAATAGGATATTGGGAGTTGGGACAATCTTGTTTCCACGTGTGAAAACAGGCTATTACTACCTGCGATCGCTCTCTTTGAAGCTGTAGATTAGATTGTTCCCTTATATATCATTGAAGTTGCACTGCAAATATCGTATTTTTTCTTCGTAAAGCCAACTATGAGGAGGAAGGACGAAGAGGAATCAAGCAAATGTGTTTGGACAACCGATCATGGGGAGAGGTTCTTCCCCCATTCTTTTCTGAGTTCCTGAATTGTTGGCACCGTTTCCCTGTGGAGGGAAGCTTATCTTGCTTGTTCTTTAATGGCAACGATACTGCAGCCAAGCTATAGGGAGGAAAATGTATAGCTTGATCTTACGAAAAGCAGATCCCATTTTGTATGGGAGATTGTTGCATGTTACTTTTCATTTTACACTATGGTGTGAGATGAAGAAATCAAAGATTTAATTCCACTTGTGTTTGATGTGTTACATACAAACTTTTTACTGGTTTACTGACACGAAATGAACATACCAGGAATTAACAACTGCCAATATGCTTGTATTCCCAAATACTCTCTCTCTCTCTCTCTCTATCTATATATATATATTAAAAATTTAATGGACCAAATTAACAAATTAAAAGATTAGAAAGGAAAGAAGCACATTTTTTGGAGAGCATTGTGACAGTTTATCTTTTGTGCGTAAATTGTTTCGGATACCATGACCATTGAACCAAAAACAAAATTTACCCTCCTTTGTTGTATGCAACATTTGTAAGGGTGCAACTTTTTTTTGATCAGTCAAACAAGCATCATAATATTCATCAAGTTGGGAAGTTCAATCAGTCAAAAGGAAAGCCTTAAGCTCCTTGGGGGGGGGGGGGGGGGGGGGGGGGAGAAGGGGGAGCCTAACCAATTTGACGGGAGCAAACTGTTTAGTTTAGCGGCTGCAACCCAATGAACAACCTTGTTAAAAGTCCTAGGCTTGTGTAAAAAACTAAGGTTGTATTCCCTAGCAAAGTTCTAATATCACTAATAATTACAGTGACTTCCTACGGAGGCACGTCTTCATTTGAACTGAGCTTGATGATGTTCATGCAGTCGTTGAGAATTGTAGCATTAGTAAGCAGCTGGGCTTTGGCTAGAATACACGCTTGTCTCACAGCTTCTACTTTAGCAATGAAACTCGATCTAGCAGGGAATGATTTTGCACTGCCAAACAAGAGCTCTCCCCCTTCCTTACATGCCACCACACCACAGGCCGCATTACCAAAGTTTGGCTTGAAGGCTCCATCATTGAATATAATTACCTCTGCTCCTTCATCCTGTCTTCTTTCCTCTCTTGCCACTGGGATTTCCTGCCCCTTCGTCGTTTCCTTGGTGCCACTCCTCAACGGATTGCACCACATGCTTTGTGCTCGGATGACTATGGCCAGGGCGTTAACATCTTTTCTATTGAATACAAAAAGGTTTCTCGCCTTCCAGATAATCCAACCCATAATAACCATCTTCCCCAGAACTTCCCCTCCACCATTAACATCCTTTACCAATTGCAAAGCCATAGTTGATCTTTTAGCCACCAACATAAATGGAGATGTCTCCCTCTGAACATAAAGATCCATGCCAAACCAAACTCTAGAGGTCCAATTACACTCAAATAAAAGGTGTTCAATGGATTCGGGGATAAGGTTACAAATTTGACAGATAGGAGATGACGCACACTTCCTTTTGAAAAGGTTTTCGTGGGTAGCCAGAGAGTTATGAAAAGCTTTCCACCAGAACTGTTTTACCTTCGGCACAACTTTCATGGCTCAGATGCACTTCCACAGGTTAGGATGGATGGAATCAGAGGAGCTAGCTTCTTGAGGGTTGAAAGCAAGCTTGATCCCCAATCTATATCCAGATTTAACAGTAAACTCACCCTTGCAGTTTGGCCACCAAACTTTTTTGTCTTCCCCTTCTTTGGTTGGCAAAGGGATGGCCTGGATCTCTCTTGACTCCTTATTTGAGACCAAACTAGACAAGGAAGTAGAATTCCACCCATAGGGTCTAGCTGAGATGATATCTGCAACTTTAATAACATTGCCCACCTGGGGCATTGGGGATTGTAGTGCCAAACTAGGAAGGGAAGGAATCCATTTATCCTCCCATAAATTCACTTTATTTCCATTACCAATCTGCCACATAGTTCCTTGAGCTAGTAGGGCTCTTCCAGAAAGAAGACTCCTCCAAACCCAAGAGGGTCTAGTGCCGCATTTTGCCTTTATAAAATCCACCTCAAGAAAGTAAATTGCCTTCATAAACTTTGCCCAAAACGATTTAGGTTGACTAATCAACCTCCATCCTTGTTTTGCCAACAAAGCCTGATTGAACAGCTTGAAGTCCTTGAATCCCATCCCACCATATGCTTTGGACTCAGTCATTTTTTTCCACTTCCTCCAGTAAATCCCACTCCCAGCCTCATTTCCTTTCCACTAGAAGTTCCTTACATAGCTGTTCAACTTGTCACAAAAGTTTTTTGGGAATGCCACATCTGACATAGCATAGTTAGGGATTGCTTGAATAACTGCTTTAATCAACACTTCTTTACTTGCTTGTGAAAGACAGCTGCTCTTCCATCCTTGAAGTTTTTTCAGAATTCTTTCAAGCAAGTAACCAAAAATCTCCTTCTTTGAGCTTCCCCAGACAATCAGGATGCCCAGATACTTGGCGCAATAAGGGAGGGGTTGCATTCTCATCAGTTTGCAATAAGCAGTCTTCCGCTCCTTAGTAGTATTGTTGGAAAAGATGACACCAGACTTGCGATAATTTGCGCATTGCCATGATGCCTCACATTAGATCTACAAAATCCTCTTCAGTTCCCTAACTCCCTTTTCTTTTGCTTTGATGAAAAACAATGAGTCTTCAGCAAATAACAAGTGAGAGATGGTGGGACTTCTTCTTTTGATTTTAATACTCGACAACTTTCTTTCTTCAACGCCTTTCAGTAGCATGGCTGATAACACATCCGCAACAAAGATAAACTGATAGGGGGATAACGGGTCTCCCTGTCTGATTCCCTTTTGTGGTCTTATTTCGCACACTCTGTTCCCACTCAAGACAAACTGCAGGGTAGTCGTACTAACACACTGCATGATAAGATCAACCCAGCGCCTGTCGAAGCCCATTTTTAGCATTATAGCTTCCAGAAAATACCATTCAACTCTGTCATAAAACTTTGCTGATATCCATCTTTATTGCCAGCTCCAGGACCCTGCCTTTTTTCTTTCCTTTGAGGTGGTGGAAGACTTTATTAGCAATTACAATATTGTCCTGGATTTGTCTGTTGGGGATAAAAGCTGTCTGGTTGGGGGAGACCAGATACTCCATCATCCTCTTTATCCTGTTTTCCAACACTTTTGAAATAATCTTGTATAAAAAATTGTACAGAGCAATAGGTCTAAACTGAGAGATGGATTCGGGTGTTGTCTCCTTGAGATGAGGACCACATTAGTGTAATTAAGCTCCTTGGTCATCAGCCCCTCTTCAAAAAAAAAACCACTAACCAACTAGAGTATATCATGTCTCACAATGTGCTAAAACCTATGGAAAAATATTCCTGGAAATCCATTAGGCCTTGGGGCTTTAAGGGCATCAAGCTCACTAACAACTTTCTGTACTTCTGCCTCAGAGATGGGTCTAAGCAACTCAAGATTCATATCATCTGTTACCTTGCTTTCCACAACCCTTAGTGTTTCAGATCAATTCCTTATCCCAACTGAGTTGAACAAAGCCTAAAAATATTCATTGATATGATCCTTAATCTCATCCTCTCCCTCGATCCAGTCACCACCTTCAGTTTTGAGCCTCAGAATATGGGTACAATTTTTTCTCTGTATTACAGTCATATGGAAAAATCTTGTATTTTGGTCCCCATTTTTCAACCAATTAATTCTGGATCTCTGCATCCAGAACTTTTCCTTTCTGCATCTATGAGTGTCAATCTGGGGGCATAACTCTGCCTCCCTAAGAAGGATTTCTTCTATGGGTTCTTGTAGCTGGATATGGATTAGTTATTTCCCCATCTCTTGTATGATATTCTTGTTATTCCCGAACTTCTTACTCCACCTGGACAACCGTATCCTACACATGTCAAGATTAACAATGACATTCTGCATCATTGCTTCTGGGAACCTAGAGATCCTGCTGTTCTTGATCACCTCTTCATACTTAGGGTCCTCCAGCCACATGATTTCAAACTTGAAACAGAATGGAGCCCTCTTAGTATTTAGACCAAGATTGACGAGAACAGGGCTGTGATTAGAGCCCATTTTGGCTTCATGAATCACCTGGGTAAAGGGATAAGGTCATTCTAGATGGGGTTGACCAGGACTTTGTCAAGACGTTCCTGCACATTAGCATCCTCTAGCCTATTATTGGACCAGGTAAATCTGGAGCCACTGAAGTTAAGTTCCATAAGACCACACTCGGAAATTAAATTTTTCATCTTTTCCACTTTCCTTATGCTGCTAACAGAGCCTCCTTCTTTCTCATTCAGAGCACCAATAACGTTAAAATCCCCAGCAACAACCCAAGGTGAATCCATAGACCTAGCCATCACTTTCAGTCTCTCCCACACCCTCTTCCTCATCTCATACTTCGTATCAGCATAGATAAGCGTACATTGCCACCACACCGGTTGATGGGGAAGGCTGCATCTAATATTACTCATGTTCTTGTTTGTTTCAACCACATGGAGGTTAAAACCATCTTTCCACTTGAGGGCAAGGCCACCTGAAATTCCCACAGGATCCACATACTTAGAGAAGTGAAAGTTCAATGATCTTCTCAACCGCTCCAACTTATGAGACTTGTTTTTAGTCTCCATAAGAAAGACAATTGAGGGACGATGGGTATTAATAAGCCTTTGCAAATTACGGACTGTCTGGGGTCGTCCCACTCCCTGACAGTTCCAAGTGAGAATTAACATGAGTCGTGTGGCTGTTTAAGGTCAGCCACCACCACCTTATCAGATCGACCAGTTGCATCACTCTTGTTTGGTACCCTACTGGAAGAATAAGCGATCCACTATGACATATATCGGTTAAGGTTATTCTCTCTTTTCCCTTAAATAAGATCATTATTCTCCTCCTTTTAGTCTTGTTGCATTTGTTCTTTTGCATTGTCCATGTAAGTAAAATACAGTTCAGAGTGCGTTGGTTCTCCAACACTCACCTTCTTGTTGGGCTTGCTCCTCCTAGCCCATTTTCTAGCTGCTTAGTTCCTCCCAAAGTTTACAAGGGACATATCAATGGCCAGTGGAGGGCTAGAATAAGGAAGGGAAAGGTGAGGAGCACTTGGGCCACTGTCTGAAAATGCTTTAAATCTTTTCCATGGCATTGAGTGGGTTTCCATACTAGCATTTTTCAATTGGACTTTCCTTTTAAGAGACATATTTTGGAAGTGGGTCTCCATATCATCACTCTTCTCATCTTCACTGTCCGAAATAATATGGACCATACTTTCATTGATCTCTTGGGCTTCCAAACTGTCTGTGAGCTCACACACATAATATGAACCTTTCTTGATTGCAACTATTGTGTTTGGGTCTTCTTGGGATTCAAATAGAGACAGAGAGAGGGACTAGTCCCATTCCTAGTCCCCACCAGAATATGGTACCATTGAGAAAGGGGGTGCACGGCTCTGGGATCCATTTTTTTGCTCCAGCATTGTACATACCTCATTCCTATTTTGGGGCCTCGACCCATCTCCACACTGATCATTAGGGGTGTCAGATGATTCCTCATTTGCTTTCCTGTTCCTTTTGTCCCCTGCCTTTCGTCGGCTCTACTTCCCCTCTGGTCGCTTGTGCTTTTCCTTCTTCTCCAACTCCCCACGTTTTCTTAGGGACCATGTTTTCCTGAAAAAACCTCCAGGTTGGCTGCTTTGCGCTCGTAACTCCGGCCCATAATTGTCGTTGGATCCAGATACCCGCCTATCCTTACAGTGGCTTTGTGAGTGACTAATTCAACCATATTGGTAGCAGAAATCCGATAGTCTCTCATATTTCAACTTGATCCAAATGTCATCCTGGTTGTCCCGGGTCAAGAAAAACCCCTTTTTTCAAGAGTTCATTCAAGTTGATCCTGTATTTCACACTCAGAAAGCTTCGTTGGATTTAGACTTCTTCCTCGAACTCCTCCAGTTGGGTTGGCTGGCCTATTATCATACCTATTCTCCATGAGTTATTTTTGGTCATCATATCAAGGGGTAACCCCCAGATTTGCATCTAGAACTCAGCCAATTGGAAATCGAAATCTCCAATTATGCACTGCGGTCGATACATCTTTAGCACCAGAAGAGCCCCAGATACAGACTATGAGCCTTCACTTAGGATCTTATCTCTATCCTCCTCTTCTTTGAATATAAACACATAGGTTTTTCTCTCTCAGTATGTGATGAAGAACCCTTTAGAGGTCTTCCATGAACTCTGTAACACGTTGTATACCCCCTGCTTATTAAGGGTTGTTTTAGTGAAGAGTAACCCACAAAGACAAAACTTCTTAATTATCTTTGAGGTAGAGGGGTCTATGTAGAGGGAAATGCGTGGGTGGTGGGTGGGGTGAGATTCAACTTCTGAATCTTTATCCATGAGAAATGTAGATGATAGGGGTTTATGGGAAGGGTAAGAGGACCGAAAAACCCCAAAGTAAATGACAATAAGGAGAAAACAGAGTAAGGGTTTTGGGGTATTGTTTAGGGTTTTTTTTTTATAGCAGACGAATCAGTAGTATCTCGAATGTGGGTGAATATGACATAGCCTCCAAATGTAGCTTAGCTTAGAAAACCAAACTGAGAGAGAGTTAGGTAATAGGGTTTGAATGTTGGCCTAGAAGAGAGTTTAGAGAAGGTGGAATATGGGGGTGTGTGGGAGCGTGAGGCAGGAGAAAGAGGGTGGGGATGCGGACAATCGTGAGGGCGTATACTATCATTGGATCTTACTGGTGAATGTATCTGCATTGAAAAACAAAACGGCGCTGGGAAAAAAGTTTATAATCTGTTGATAGGGTATAACACAGGAATGAAGAAGTAAATGGAGGATAGGTAGAGTGTATAGTAGGAAGAGAGGAGTAAATGAAGAATAGAAGACGAAACAATCCTCCTTGGAATCACCAAAGGTTCTCACTATTTTGGGACACTAAAGCGTTTAGCTATGGACACATGAAAGAACTGATGAGAATGGAATCTCAAAAAAACCCTAAACTAGGGGGGGAGCTTTCATTTCGAGAGAGTTTTGATAATTATAAGGTTGTTAAATTTTGATAAAGGGGTGCAACTTGGATGGGCCAATCCTAACACAACTCGAAAAAAAAACTGCTAGAGTTGAGATTTTTAAGGTTATGATTAAGAGTAGGATTATGATTAGGATTAGGGTTGAAAAACTTCAACCACAATTAAATTTGGATAAAACTTAGGTTAAGAGTTCAGGTACACGTGTTTAACCTGAATATAACTCGAATTAATAAAATTGGGCTTAACCCAAATCCAACACGAGTTTAACCTAAATTCATGTATTATATTTATATAAATAATATAAAATATAAAATATAAAAATAATAAATAATAAATAAATATATATTTTGTAATTATTATTATTTCAAGGGAGAATGGAACATGATTTATGAACACTACAATTGGATTAGTAAAAAATGCAAAAGAAAGACAAAAAATTATCTTCTCACATCGAATAGAGATTTTAAATGTATTCTCCTCTCTTTCTTATGTAAAGAAGACTTATCCTTATATACGTTTATTTAATAGTCTAACATTGTGCAAATATTCACACTTAATTTAAGATTATTATTACCAACTCAAATTAAGTAAGCTAATTTCAATCAAAACTGGTTCGAAATCAACTCAAAGAATAATCTGATTAGAGTTAGAGTGAGAAAATTGTATTCTAGGGTTGTATTAGCCTCAACACCCAACCCGCCCAAGTCTGCCCAAGTTGTACCCTAATTTCTCTTGAAAAAAGCTAACAACTTCTTCCCGGTGGCAAACACCAATCAGACCATGCCATAACAATGAAAAACAGGACCTCAATCCTTCTTTATCTTTTCTCTCATGGCGGAGTTACCCAAAAACCTCTCGCCAAAACACCTCCTGAAACTCCTCAAATCAGAAAAGAACCTAAACACAGCTCTGTGCCTCTTCGACTCAGCGAGTCATCACCCAGGTTACACCCTCGATGCCGTTGTCTTCCACCACATCCTCCGACGGCTCACTGACCCAAAACTCGTCTCTCAGGTGACCCGAGTCGTCGAACTCATACAAACTCGCAAATGCAAGTGCACAGAGGACGTGGCATTGACTGTGATCAAGATCTATTCGAAAAATTCAATGGTCGATAAAGCAATGGAAGTTCTTCAGAAAATGAGAGAAGTCTTTCAATGCGAACCGGGGATAAGATCCTATAATGCATTGCTCAATGCTTTCGTTGTATCTAAACAATGGAATCGAGCTGAGTTATTTTTTAGGTACTTTGAAACCATGGGTGTGTCGCCCAATTTGGAAACCTACAATGTTTTGCTCAAAATTTCATGTAAAAAGAAGCAATTTGATAAGGCAATGGGGTTGTTGAACTGGATGTGGGATCGGGGTTTGAAGCCCGATGTGTGTAGTTATGGAACTTTGATCAATGGACTGGCCAAAAGTGGGGAATTACTAAAAGCGTTGAATATGTTCGATGAAATGTTCGAGAGAAGGGTGAGTCCGGATGTGATGTGTTATAATATTTTGATTGATGGGTTTTTCAAGAAAGGTGATTTTTTGGGGGCTAATGAGATTTGGGAGAGGTTGATCAAAGGATCATCGGCATATCCAAATGTTGTTACTTATAATGTGATGATCAGTGGGTTGTGCAAGTGTGGGAAGTTTGACGAGAGTTTGGAAATGTGGGAAATGATGAAGAAGAATGAGAGGCAAATGGATTTGTTCACGTACAGTGCTTTGATACATGGGTTATGTGAGTCAGTGAATGTTGATGGGGGTTTAAGAGTTTATAAGCAAATGATTGAGAGTGGGGTGTCTCCTGATGTGGTAGTATATAATGCATTGCTTAAAGGGTATTGTGGAGTTGGGAGGATTGAGGAGGGTTTTGAGTTGTGGGATTTGATGGGAAGGGAGGGTTGTCGAAATGTTATTAGTTTCAATATATTGATAGGAGGGCTGTTTAAGAACGGGAAGGTGGAGGAGGCTATTTCAATTTGGCAGCTCTTGCAGAGCAATGGTTATGTTGCGGATTCAACAACTTATGGAATACTTGTTAATGGATTTTGTAAGACTGGGTACTTGACCAAGGCTTTATGGGTCTTGAAGGAGGCAGAAGTTAGAGGAGATGATCTGGGTATTTTTGCATATTCTTCAATGATCAATGGGTTGTGTAGAGAAGGACGATTAGATGAAGCAGTTATTATGCTTGACCGAATGGCTAAATGTGGCTGTAAACCAAATCCTCATGTTTGCAATGCGCTTCTCAATGGGTTGATCCGAGCTTCTAAAATTGAGGATGCAATTCGGTTCTTTGGTGAAATTACAACGAGGGGTTGCATTCCAACTGTTGTCACCTATAACATTCTTATTGATGGATTATGCAAAGCAAAGAGGTTTAGTGAAGCCTATATCTTTGTGCAGGAAATGCTTGCAAAAGGATGGAAGCCAGACATGGTTACATATAGCTTATTGATTGATGGTCTTTGTGAAGACAAGAATGTAGATGCAGCTCTCAACTTGTGGGGTCAAGTGGTTAATAAAGGTTTCAAGCCTGATGTAACTATGCATAACATCATAATTCATGGGCTGTGCTCTGTTGGAAAAGTTGAAAATGCTTTGCAGCTATATCTGAATATGAGTCAGTGGAACTGTGTCCCAAATCTTGTAACCCACAACACACTAATGAAGGGATTTTACAAAATTAGAGACTGCAAAAAGGCATTAGTGATTTGGGCCTGTATTTTTAGACATGGGCTTCAACCAGACATCATTTCCTATAATATCGCTCTGAAAGGGCTTTGTTCTTGTAACAGAATACCGGATGCCATTGGGTTCTTCAATATTGCTTTGAGTAAGGGTCTTGCTCCAACTCTTATTACATGGGACATACTTGTCAGAGCAGTTCTCAGGGCTGCAGTTCCAGTGTGACCCTTTCACGTTAAATATGGGAAGTAAGTTCCCACCTCCCACTCTTCCTCATCTCTATTGATATTATATCATGGATTTACTGCTATTTATTGGGTCATTAGAAGAGAACTTTAGTAAAGATTACAGTATTGCTCTTATCCTCCTTGACCTTGTTGTTAGGAGTAAAAATTCTTTGGCACCTCCTCTAGCCAAAAGAATTGCTGCAACCAGTGTCCTATGTGTCCGGTATTTGAAACTAAAAGATACCTCGCCTTTCTGATGCTACTGAGCAGATGGAGGTATACTGAATCAGAGGAGCATTACTTTCTTTTCAAATGTACCTGAGTAACTCTGATAATCCATGAGTTGCTTATATGGGTTTTGTTTGGGGCATTGTTCTTTTGCAGGAGGAATTGTTGCAGTTTGGTTTCCATGGCCTTGCATTTGCCCTATTAGCTAAAGACCTCTTTGACTTGGCACAAGGGTAAGTTTCCTATAAAATTAATGTCACTTGCTTGTCTCAACAAATCCTAGTTTTATAGCTGATTTAATTCCGTTCTGGACTTTTCCCTTTTTCACTTGTGCTATTTTAGTGTTACTATTGTGATTAGATATCACTAGTTCAGAACAAATTTTGTGCCATGATCCATTACTAACTAAGCAATGACAACGATGAGGCAAACGTACCAGTACATTTTCCATTCAACAGCCAAGGACCTACCGAGTGCTTTGAGCTGCCCATAGCAACAACATGATGCTTATTCTGGTATTTTACTACTAAACTGCTGAATTTGTATTTGACAACATGATTGCTTATTCTGGTATTTTCCTACTAAACTGCTGCATTTGTATGTAACACCATATTGTTTAGCCCCCAAATATCTTGTATCTGATACCAGGAACAAGTTTCATTGACTCAGGAGAAAGCATCATGCTTTTACTTTCCAGTTTGTTGTGTTAATAGAAAGTGTAGGGAAGCTAGCCTTACCTAGTACAGCTTGTCTATCCCAAAGGAAAGCAACTGAAATGGAAGTATAGGGAATCTAAATTTGTAAACAAAACGCTATAGTTTATTCAATCCATGAGCAAACTGATGATGCAAATGTTTTGAGTTATGTCTTCTGTTCAATGTAGTGGATAAAAAGTTCATTGTAAAGCATCTGATTCAACATGGGTTTTGGTGGTTTGAGTGATATCACCATGAATGGATGATGATGCAAAAGCGAAGTAGCTTGATGTATTAGCCTCAAGTAGTATGATTTTACTTGGGGTTATAACTCATGCTACATTTATACTTGGTTGAAAGTGCCATGGCCAACTTCAGTGAGGACATACAAAACAAAAAACTTCACTCTTCTCTTATTTTTCTCTTGCTGAGTGTTTTGTGTTTACTTATAAATTCCTATGCTCGTACGTGACTTGAGAAAGCAAACCCCAAAAATGACGCAAGTGGCCTTTTGCCAATCAGATGATGAAGAGACCAAGGAATCAACAACCCCCAAAACCACCACACCAACTGTTGCAAGGTACTTGTTCCTCCTAGTTTTTTTTTTGTTTTAAGTCTTGTTCCTCCTAGTTATTTTGTTATCAATCCAGAATTTTTTTTGTAAAGCTGTTCTCCATCTCCTCCTCAGCTTTTACTTTTTCAATGGGTTCTGTTTTCCTCGAGTTTTTGACTTCGGTCCTCATTATGACGTTCAAACTCTGCTAGGTGCTTAGTGCTAACTGCTTCTCTTTCTTGTCATCCTTCAGTTTGTTCAACTCTACTGATTCTTCAAAGGTTTGCATCCGGCTGTCTATATTCTCCATTATGTGCTCATAGAAGACGAAATAGATAAGGAGTTGAACAGTCCTGACACCAGCTTCATCGAGTTCTTTGAGCATTCTCGTCTATCTGGTGAATCTTAGTAATGGCTTCTTCAGCACTCTGGCTTCAAGTATGAAGAATGCTCGTTTAAGTAATCCATGAGGCGAATTTTTATTTGCTTCAGGCACTTTTTTGTGATTGAAGCATTGTAATTCTAGCGAACAATTCCTGCCTGAGTATCTCCTTCAGGCCGTGGGGCTTCTGAATCCTAATCATTTGCTTTGCAGAGGAATAGGCTGGAGTTCTTCTTGGAGTTCACTTTTCTGTAAAAGAGGGCATTGTTGCTGGGAGTTGAAGAAGTTTGAATTGCTTCGAGGAAAATCATTTCTTCGGCTGTGTGCGTGAGAGAGAGCATACAAGAGAAGTGTTTTAAACCTCTCATTGGATGTACAATTCCTATTCTTGGATATTATTGACGATGCACAAAATGTATTTATGCACCACCTGTCAATTATTTAATGCAGTAATTAAGAAGGAAACTTAACACAAGTAAATACAAATTATATGGTTCGGTCAAGGTGACTAACTTCACAATTAAGGGTTTCGTTGACCTGAGTGTTTTATTGTTTAAGGAGTATATAGTATTCAAATGTGAGCGATGCTTTTCTTGTGTAGGTGGGACTTGTAATTTATAGATGTTTTCTAACAGATTGATGTACTATTCTCGTAACATGTGAGTTAGTTTGGTGGAGGTGGCACTATTTTCGTAACAGGTGAAGCAGTAGCGTGGAGGTGGCAACGTGTATTCGATGATTCTGTTCTACGAAGATCTCGTGTGTCAGTTGTGAACTGAGTTTCTCAAAATAGCGAGGTTGATCCAACTAAGTTTATTTGATCTTGTGGTGGGTTTAGTCTATATATTTGAGTTGTGTCTGGCCTGCATCTTTGATTTGGGCCTGGTTTAAACCCATCATTTCATATCCTTATGTATTTAAAATTTTTAAATTGTCTCTAAAATCTCTTTTAGTGAGTTATTTTCCATGTATAAATATCAATTTTTATAATTTTTTTTGATTGACTATATTATCCTTAAAAAATATTTGCACCATTAAAATTTTTAATTAAGTTTTCAAAAATCCTATAAAAACTGTATCAATATAACATTACTCATTTCATATTTTGTGTAAAAATAGATTGTAATGTATTTTTAATATGTTTTATAATATATACAATAAAATAATATATTAAATTTTATTCAAATATACCTGACAAATTTCTAATTACAGTAAAGTTTCAAATATGAATAATATATTGATAATTATTTTTATTTTATTCAATGAATTATAAGTGGAATCCTAATTAAATGGATTTCAAAAAATTTTATTTTTTAAACATCACTAAAATCCACTCTAAACACAATTTAAAAAAAAATAGATTTCTAATTATTTTTTAATATTTTTTTTAATAATTAGAACAATAGCTTTGGAACATATAAAGTTTTCATAATTATATAATAAAATATGAGTGATAAAAAATAAGTGTGATAAATTTAAGATGATATTTGATTCAAGTACAAATATAGCTAACATTTTTTATTAATTTTTTTGCATAAAAATTATTCGCGCACGTGGTGCATTGCTGGTCAATATAAAATGAGTTTTCATCATTGATTTTCCTAGTAACCCACCATTTACTTCAATTATACAGGCACCCCAACAACAAACCAACAAACCACAAATCGGTTCAAATGTCTAATGCTCCATTTGACAGGAATGATGAAAAGTAGGAGGGATAAAAAGTAAGAGGAATATACTTTCTATTCTCTAAGAAATGAAAGTAGTGGTAGGATAAATGAAAAATAAAAATGATTAATTTTTTTATGTTTGATATTGATTAAAAAAATAGAAATATAGAAACAATATACATACATAATTTACTATTTTATCCTTATATGAGATTAGTATATATATATATATATATATATATATATATATATATATATATATATATATATATATATATTATGCACCATGTCACTATAATATATGCGTCATGTGTTTTAACAAACACAATCACATAAAAAATACATCTATTTTTATTTAATTTTTAAATAAAAAATAAACACGCTAATATACAAACACACACATAGTGTTAACACATAATATAATTCCATTGATTGGCATGAGTTTGGGTTTAGGTGTTTAATATAAATAAGTAATTAGTTAATGGTTAAAAAAGTAAATAATATATTTTTATTCAATGTAAGTATCATTTTTTTTTTCTGTCAAATTTTAGAGGGATTAATTTTAGTGAGTTGAAAGGAAAGCTCATTCATCCACTTTTTCATCCTTTATATTTTCCTTCCTTGTCAAACATGATGTTGTATTTATCCTTCCAATTTTTCCTCTTTCTAATTTTTCATCATTCTATTTTTCTATTGTACTAAATGGAGTATCAAAGGTTATCCACAAATTCAACAGGTTTTGCAAGACACTTGTATCATTGGCCCCGAGAACAATCCAGTCCACCTGCATGGCTCAAATTCTTCACGGTTGGCAGGGATTATGAAATTTCAATCCAAAGAGAGATTCGAGGAAAAAAAAAAAAATTCAACCATGTTGATGCGGCTGGAAAACACACGATTGGAATACCATCTGGTGGACAGGTAGCTATCAGATTCCGGGCAGAGATAATCTAGGCAAAATTGTGAAGTCAAATTAGATCACATTTGCTTTCATTTCTTGTAATGATTTTATGTGTAAAATTCATTTCTTTTGAATTTGCAGGTGTTTGGTTCATCCAGAGTCCTTTGGAAGTGCACACAAACAAGGGGATTGAGGACTCAAAAATGGCTTTCCTGGTCAACAATGGCAAGAGGCCTTATGAGTCTCTTTTGCTACCACCAAAGGGATCTTCTAAAGGTTTACCCTTGCTGAGAAATGTCACTATGTGAGTAAAACAATTAGAAGGAAAAGATAGAAAGAGGAAGATGCAAAGGCAAACTCAGTTGAAGAAGGAAAAAAGAAGAAAGGAAATAGTAAATAAAAAGGTTAGAGAGTTTTGTTTTGATTGTTTCATGAGTAAAGTAAAGATTGCTCAAACAAGTTTTCAAGAGTTATAAGACCATTCTTCATTATTGAAGGAATGTTACAATTTTTATGGATTACATCAAAATTCTTTTCATTACTGGTAGAAAATTTTCAAACCGAGTCAAACTCCTTGTCAACTGGTACTCTTAGTAAGAACACTTACAAATGTGATAGTGATTTTGAGTCATTGCAATTATTTAGTGGCATTCCTTGAAGGAGAGAACAAAGGAATAGACATCAAAATAGAGAGAAGGAGAAAGGGGAGGGGGGGGGGGGGGGGGTTAAAATAATATGACCTTCTCTCAATAAGAATGACTCTCAACTTCCAAGATATTAACCATGGCTTTGAGTGAGACTAGAATTGTTTTGTTGCTGAATATTATGAGTGGTCTTTTATTCTGTTCAATATTAAAGAGAATATTGGAGGGAATACTAGACCGTTAGAGATTATATTCTCTAAGTATGACGTGACCTTCTAAAAAGAGGTGACGTGACAATAGTAAATTCATTCTTAGAAAAAATCTAGAGATGAATAGTACTCTTCGTCTCTTCCTCTTATGGCCCAAGTAACTTACCTTCTTCTGCTGTTGAGTGAAATCATATTTGAAGATGACTTTATTCTTAGTATTATCAAGTATGAGCTATATTTTTTATAAAAAAAAAGGAAAAAAAGAATCTTATGTGGTTGAAAGGACTCAACCCTTAAGGGTATGATGGTAACCCTTAGCTTGACAGAATAGATGCAACTAAATTAATAAATAGCCTTTGTTATTACATTTAACATTATTGGAGAGTGACATTTGTAGATCAATTCCTTTACTACAGTGATTTTTTTTTAAAAAAAAGAATTACTCAAATATAGTGATTTCAATCATGTTTTTTAATCTACCTTTATTTATACAAAAGCATGATTTTTTGGACTCATGTTTTTTATATTAAAATGCCTCAATTAAAACAACTTTTTAACACAAATAATGGCATATTGGTCAAAGAAAGTTTGAAAGGATGGTAAAAAATTTGGCACTTTTGGATTTCTTTTGTTAAGGCACTTTTTTGATTTATGATGGTGCAGAGATGGAGAAGTACTATAATAGATGAACTGTTAATTAGAATCTATTACCAATATACAACAAATATAAAACTTAAATACCAATTTATAGCTGTTTTTAACATATTTACCAAACTACGGCTGTTTTAAAAGTGAAAATAAGAAATTCGCTTTCATTTAAAAGCGGAATTACTAAGTGCGACTTTATATGAAAAAGCGGATTTGAGAATAACGACTTTATCATTAAAAGCGTATTTATCAATTACGATTTTACTTGAATAATTGTACTCTTGAAATTTGGATTTAAAATGGAAAGTGTATTTAGTAAGTACGCTTTATCAAATGAAGCAATTATAATGAATCCGCTTTCATTTGAATAACCAACCTCCCAGGGCCTCCGTTCTGTTATTCCACGACTTCGTCTCTCTCTCTCTCTCTCTCTCTCTCTTTCCTCTCTTCTCTCTATGGAAGCTCAGACCTTCACCTCTCTCTCTTTTCTGTTCACTGACTCCTCCTTTTTTTTCCATTATTGTGTATGATTTCGCCATCCCTAAGCTCAACCCTTATAATGCACAAACCCTACTGATGAAATCCAAGCGTAGCCCTAGGTTCTTTGAAGAAGACAACTGAGGTCTTCTACAAGATTCGAGCGTGAGATTTGCCTGAGGTGTGACATCAGGCAGTGAGATTCCGTTCTAAGCCCTAGCTTACTCAGTGTGTTGTGAAAGGAAGTAGTAGACTGGTACACACCCATGGGCTAGGTCTGAACCAAGGAGAAGACAATAGTTCATGTGTTGAGCACAAAGGTTCTGTTTAATCAGGTACGCTACATTGAGTCTCTAATTTAGAAAAAACCCAAGTGTAACTGCAAAATTTCCCCATTGCCCAATCCCCATGAATGTTGAATTTAGAGGTCCTCAAGTGTTATTGCTAAATTTCAATTGTCATTGCCCAATTACTGTGTGATTTTGAAAATCCCCAATTTTTTTCAATTTTCAATCCCCATTAATGCTGCGAGTAGTTTGAACTACATCCTTACTTTAGAAAATTTCCTATGTGAAGGTATAATTGTATTCATAAATTTATTTTCAACTGCATCACAACAATATATACTGATTGTGTACCTACTGTCCATGATACTGTTTTTCATTCTAAGTTATTTTTCAAGGTTTAGAATTAGGGAAAGATGTAACGACCGATAAAATAACGAGAGATTGTCCATGTTAGTATCTATTTCTGCCAATACATAGGTTTTAGAGATTATTCATATTTTGAAAGATTCTGTGGTGAGAACAATATGCCAATGCCTCCATTGCACATAATCCATCTCATGAAAATTTAGTATTGGTGGTGAAATTTTGGGCACCTTTTCGTCAAATTGGTAACTGATGTTTGATGTTTGTAGTGGTGATTAAGATTATTATTTGTGAACAAATGCCAAACACTTGAATTATACATGCATTGTCTTGGTGTCCAACTGTCCATATAAGTTCCATTGATTCTCACAACTTTATCTTTAGTTTTGTTTT